TATTACCATTTTTTTAATAATATAATTCTTTATATAACGTCGTTTAATATCGCCGCGCTATTATTATTAAAAAGCAAAATTATTTATTCGAAATTTAAAATTTTTATTCGATTTTATTCGGATTTTATTTATTTTATTTTATAAAAAATAAATAAAACCTAGCTTTTTTAAAAAATAACTTTTATTATTTAAAATAAAATAATTATATAAAATAAATATTATTTTAATATTATTAATAAAATTTTACGCGATATATAAAACGTAAATTATTTTTTAAAAAATATATTAACTTTATTAAATAGCGATTTTGCCTAAATTTTATTTATAATATATAAAAATAGCCGCGCTTAAATAATTAAAGCCTATTTATAAAAATTAAATATTTAAACCCGGATATAAAAGCTATTTTTAATAAAAAATATACGTTTATTATAAACGAAACCTAAAAATATAGCGTACGCTTTATAATTAAATTTTTTTTTATTATTTATATATAAACGGTTTTATCCGTTTATTAAATTTTATTAAGGTTTTTCGGCGCTAAAATAATTTATTTAATTACGTTTATTTACGCCCGATATTAGTTAGCGTTATAATATAGCTAAATATTTTCGTTTATAAAACGATTTTTTACGCTTATAATGCTTAGGTAAATAATATAAACGAGCTTTTTTTAAATTATATACCCGGAGTTATTAAAAATTTAATTTAAAAAATAAATTTTTACCTAATAGCCTTTTTAATATCGAATTATTTTTTACGAAATATTTTAATTCGTTAAAGCCTTTTAAGATACCTCCGGCTAAATTACGGTTTAAAATAAAAGCTTTTATTATATTATTACGTAATTTTTCCCTAAATATAAAAATATATAATAATACCCGTTTTATTATTATTAAGTTTTATTAATATATTATCGAAGCTAAAATATTTAGCGGTAGGTTTTATAAATAAATAAAGCCGATTTTACGTTTATAACTAAATTAAAATAAAAATAATTAGCCGTTTCCGTAATTTTATAGGCAGTTTTTAATATAGCTTAGCTTTTTTATAATTATTAATAAATTTTAAAAATAATTTTTTAATATAATAAATATTAATTTATAAACGTAAATTTTTATATACGGCTAATTTTATATAATAATATCCCGATTAATAAATATTAAAAAATTAAAAATTTTATTAAACGAGGAAATTACCGTTATAAATAATATTATTTATTTAAAAATATTAACGTTTATAAAAAAAAATATAGCTAAATATTTAGGTTATATAAATTAATTTTAGCGTATTTAGAAAGTTTCGGAATTTATTATTTATAATATATTTTAATTTATATATTTAATAAAAATAATTAGTTTTTAAAAAGGCAAAATCGGTTATAAAAATAAATTTTCGGGTTAAAAAGGTTAAATTTATAATTTTTATAAAATTATTTAAAATATATACGCCGGTTTTATAGGTATTATTACCGTTAAAAAATATTTATTTCCGCCCGATTAAGGTCGGAAACCCTTAAAAAATATTATATAATATTAAACGCTAAAAAATATAAATATTAAAAGGTTTATAATTTAGTTTATTTTAAAAAAATATATAAACGGCTGCGAAAATAATTAAAAAATACCGATTATCGTCGAATAAAGCCGGAAATATATAATAAAAAAATATAAAAATGCGCAAAAAATTATATAATATAATTTATTTTAAAAATAAATTATCGACGCCGGAAACGACTAAAAAAGGCTAAATATAATCGAAAAAAGTTATAAATTTTTATTAGTTTTTTAATAATTTTAATTAATATATAATTATAAAATATTATTTAAGTTAAAATTACCGGTTATATAAAATTAAAAAATGCCGAAAAGCGCTTAAAGGTTTTTTTTTTAAAAGCCTTTTTCGAATTACGCTTAATAAAATTTTTTAGGTAAATTAGCGGTCGGAAATCGTCGAAAAACTATTTTTATATATTTATTAAAGCGGTAAAAATATTATTTTTTTAATTATTATAATAATAATTATTATAAGCTTTATTTCCGATTTTTTTTATAACCGTATAAAATTAAAAAAAGCCGTTATGCTTTATATAACGCTTATAAGCCTTTAATTTAGCTAAAAAAACGCCGAAAATAATTATTAAACCGGCTTCGATATTAATAATATTAACGCTATTATTTTTTTATAATTAATATTATTCGTTATTTTTTAGGGTCGAAAACGGTTAAAAACGGTTAAAAACTTATTTTAAATTAAAATTTAGCTAAATATTAATATTAATATAATTATTATCGAAATAAATTTAAAATATATTTTAAAGCGAGATTTTATTTTAACGCTATTGCAAATTACCGTTAATATATTTCCGGTAATTTTCGATATTTTTCGGGATCGGCAAATTTATTATATACTTAAAATTTGCCGATTATTTTAATAAATTTAAATATATTATTAAAAATTTTAAAAAAGGCGAATACGGTTAAATTATTTTATTCGGAAATTTTCGGGCTTTTATAATTATTATAAAAAATAAAAATAAAAATTTTTTTTATTTCGATATTAATCGTAATTTTTCCGATTTTTTCGGCGTTATAAAGAAACGGAAATTATTTACCGTTTCGTAAATCTTTAGTAAGCATAATAATAACGTTTATATCGATAGCTTTAAATTTACGCTTAATTAGGGTCGAAAAAGCTTTTTTAATTACGAAAAAAGTCGGAAAAGGCTTTTATATTTTTTTTAACGTTTTAAAATCGTAAATATAAATTTCCGCGGTTTTAGCACGGAATTCGGTAGCTTATTTTTTAATTTTTTCGCTTTTATAATTTTATTTATAATTTTCGGCTAAAACCTATATTATTCGGGTTTTTTCGTTTAAAGCCGAGGTTTTATTACGAAATTATTTAAATTTTTTTTCGATTTAAATTTTAATTTTTTTAAAAATTATAATTAATCGGCGTAAAAAGGCGTCGAAAATATCCGAAAAGCGTTAATCGTCGTCGAATATAACTAAAATAATCCGGGAATACGGCTAAAAGAAAATAATAATATACAGAAATTATATAAAATATCGTTAATATTAATTTTATATTTTTCGGTACTAAAAATAATTAAAAAAAACGTAATAAAAATTTAAAAAATTTAAAGCCGTTAATATAAATTAATTATATTTAGTTTATTATTATATATAGCTTTATTCGACGCTATTTTATCGTAAAAAATATAAAAAAATTATAATCGATATAAAATTAATTTTAAAAGCCGAATATAGCGTTAATATAAATCGGTAATATTTATAAAATAAAAAAGCTATAATCGTTATAAATATAATAGCATTATATAATACGGCTATTAGCGTTAAAATTACGCCTAAAAGCGTATATACGCTTAAATAGCCGTATTTAATCGCAAAAATCCTAAAAAAATCGCATTTAGCGTAAAAACGATTTAAAAATACGATTATTACGATAAATTAGCTATAAAAAATATACGCGGATATAAAATAAAAATTTATAATAATTAATAATTTATTAAAAAAATAATAATTTAAAAAACTTAAAATTACGTAATTAAAAAACGCGGGAAAATATAAAAATAGCCGTAATAAATCCGATTTACGCGTAATTATATAACTAAAATTAGGCCCGATTAAAAATTAAATATTTTAATTAAAGTTAATTATAATAATTACGATAATTTTGGTAATTACGTAAATTTTTCGGCTATATATAGATTTTTAATAATAAAAGCGATTTTATATATTTACGACTTTTTACGATGCTTTTAAGCTTAATTATCTTAATATTATTTATAATTTTAGCGTCGCCGCGGTTTTCCTATAATTTACGGTATTTTTAAAATTCTAAATCTTGCTATTACTTACGGTATTACTATTATTTACGGTATTTTTTAACACTTAGATCTTATTATCGGTCGCGGTTTTGCTATTATTAATATTTTTTTTGCGTAAGCAAAAAAAATCTGGCTAATAGGGTCAGCTAGTCAAAACTAGACGATGTATCTTAGCCCGCCCAAGCAGCACCGCTTTAGCCCGACCTATAAAGTGGCGCTGCATGTTCATCTCCCATTGGATACTCACAGAACCAGACATGTCGAGCCCCGCATGCTTCTGTGTCTGAGACATCAACAGGACCAGGGTCCCGCACAAGAAAAGGCTCTCGCGGGCAAAGAAGCTCGGCTGACGGGCTACGTCTTTGTATCTAACACTATTCCTGACGCTAGAGAGTAAGGCTTTCGTGATGCACAACAGATTTTCCATATCTTCCCTGCGGCAAGAGACACGAAGATAAAAAGGCTGCAAAGACGCATTTGTATGCACTTGCTCAAACTCCATCAAACAACATTCGCAGGAGTCACTCCATACTGCTGCACCACCACAAGACAAGGAATCATTCTACATGTGCAGGCAGTGAGTTATATAGCCTTGCATTTTGGTTTGAACTTGTATTTTCATTGCTAATAATTCTCTTCAAATGTGTTGCCGTTCAGCCACACAAATAAGGCTGACTAACACAACTGCAAGAAAGAAATATTACCGGAATGCAATACGTTCCTACAGATCACAATGCCTATTACGGACGTTCATGCTGGAGCTGCGTTAGATTTACCTGCGCTTGTAAATTCGCTAGTATCACTTTCAATAGCAGAGTCAACAAATCCAATCAAACACACAGTTCATTCTACGTAACGTTGTACGTGGCTGGATTAATGACGACGGGCACATGCGAAGTGCCTGAAATGCGCAGATCTGAGACACCATCACTAAGAAAAGGGATCCATGTGTCTTCGACATGTCATACACAAAGCAATGTACTTCATTTGAAAAATACTTTCCCAACTCCTCTTTTTCATCCGTGTTCCGCCATCTCAACGATATTAAGACGAAATTTTCTATCTTTTGCTGACGCGCTCTCATCCTACGTCTCAAGATACAATGCAAGCCGAATCTCGTGTTGATCTCTCAAGCACTTCGGGTTCACTAGGGGTCGCTAAGAATGTTGTCAGCTGGATGACCAGTCAACCTTTCATACTCGAGGAAATCCCAGGTATCAAATAACCAAGTACTTGGGAGCTCATTTGTCCTTCCCGCAGCCTCACTATCATACTCATTGCCCATGATCATCTTCTCCAGATTTGCCTCTATGCTGTCAACCTCGGCATGTGTCTCATCTGTAAATACATCCGTGGGTGGACACCAATGCCATGCCCACTCAACATGAACAAAGAATTGCCCTTTGCAATGCAGACCTATCAGAGGGCCTAAAAGATGACCATGGACACGAAAGACCGATGACTGATCCCCTCCCGCCAAAAGTAATTGGCGATGAATCCAATCGGAATCCTCTTGAAGTACTGAGCTGGCCATGGTCATATTTGCAACGACCTTCAATTGGCCAACATCGGTGTGTGCTTCCAGCTGCCGGATGGCGGAGCACAAGTCAAGGTAGTAGGGGTCATGAGTTGTTGCACCACATTCAGGGTCAATGGCTGGAAACACGATCTCGAGATGGCGGAGGCTGCGGAGAGTATCCGGCCACATGTGTCTTGTAATGAATTTAGATACATCGAGGCGCTCCGTTCTGTCATTCTCGCTCAGACTCGATCGAAGTCCCTTTGATGGGACAATGACGATGCGGTTACATGAGTAAAGTACTTGCACAGCCTTGCGGTACAGCGCATGGCTGACTGTAAAGATGGACTGTGGCGAGACCCAGCAATAGCAACGAGATGAATATCCACTTCGACGCTGAAGGCAGATGCTTGGCGGCGTGTAATGTTTCGATACCATGCACGACACACCATTACAACGACTATGGAGATATGGGTCGGGGCTATCACCGCCGCATCGGGATGCTGCAGTGGCGATGCGAAACCCTTGTTGTGCGCTCCAGTAGACCTCTTTGTGGGGCGCGACGAGACCCGTGTACTCTAGGATACGTCGTCGGACCTCGACAGGAAGGTCAAATAGAGGGAAGGGACGTTCTCTCAGGCCAGGACTGAGGCCACGAGCACGTGCAGCTGTCTCGCATGCAATGGCGCTAATTGCTTTATCTTGTCTTTGTTGGCCGAGTTGAAGTTCACATACTCTTAGCACGCCTGGATTCTCATTGAGTGGCTGAAGGACGGCCGTGGTTGTATGGCCAACTCCTGTTTCACAGATGAGACTCAGAGCCAAGGTCTGAGGCGTCGCATTGGTTAAAATATGTCTTGCGGTCGCTTGCCAGAGACTGAGGCGTGCTGAGTTCAGTGACATCACCATGCTGAGCGGGCGATGTTCCAGAGCGTCGTACCGTGCACAGCTACCCTCAGATGCTTCGAAATGGAGTTGGACGAATACATGAGTGAGTACCGAACACTGCTGAGGGCTAAGACGACGAAGAAACTCCAGCCCAGACTCTACATGCTCGTGACCGACAACTAAGGTGTTGTGCGCGCAAATGAGGGTCTTGACCTCTTCATAAACGGTCTTGCAGGTTTGTAGGACGTTGTAGGTAAAGCGAAGTGACGCCAAAGGTGGCCGTCTAGTCAAGGCGTTTCCACCTTTTGGCTCTAGTTTTATCGTCTCGCCAGATACGAGACCTGCTGCCATATAGATCTTGTGCCGGGCCTCCTCCGGTAGATCAAGCAGACTGTACATGATGCTGCCAATCGTTCTGACTTGCCTGGATGGCGGATGCTGTCGGTGTGTGCGTTATGATGTGGAGGAACTTGGTTTACGGGACTATTGCTGACAACGTGGTGACTTTGATTTTAAATACAAGGATGCATGCACATGCGTCTGTTGGTCCCCAGTAGACAGACTTTTGGGGGTGGTGACGTCAAGAGGATATATCACCCAGCCTGAGACGTTGCGTTATGGTCGCTCCCTTGATTATCTTTGCTCAGAATGAGCAACACCGTGTGTGGGCTTGACATCTGCCTGGAGCAAACGCCCTCCTCGCGACTTCGCTGGACACGACCAATCTAAGGCCAACAGGGCACTGATACGTGTTACCACTTTAATGCATGTCTTTTTTTTTTTTCTTTTTTTTTTGGAAACCATATTTCCTTTTGTCTATAATTTTGCTCCATACGCTTTAATGGTTACATGTTAAAGAATATGAGTTGAAAGTTGAGCACAATTTCAATCGAAAACAGACAATGATATGTCCCTATTGCACCACTAAGCCACTTCATGTCAAGCCTCCAAAGCCACACCAAATGGGCAGCCCCAGCGCCTCCACGTCAGCATAAGAGCCTGAGGCTGAATCTCTTTATTTAAGGCCGGTCGGTAAGCTTATTCTCCTCTTATCGGGCTTATTTATATTAACTGCCCAACCCCATTTAGGAGCTTCTTGCTTCATTTTTATGGTCAGGTCTGTGACCTTTGCAATTTGCTTTTACTACATTAAAGTGTCATTCAACTTGACTGACCGCCCGTTGAATCATGCTGGCAAACAAGCAATATCCCCTTGCCGTTGTCGTGGCTCACTGGACATCACTCTGCGTCGGCAGATATATCGGCGTCCGGGGGCCGGCAAAGTTTCAACATTTCCTGCCAGTTTTGAGCGAGTCTACACTCTCGGATATTAATAATAATGTGTGTGCCGCCACTCGAGCCGATTACATGAGTGCCTACAACGATCCGGCGGTAGATCCAGACCGCCTATGTCTTGCCCAGCAGGATTGCATTCTAGTCAACATGAGCGAATCGGAAAAGTCCTACATGTCCAGCTCCAGCCTAGTTCTCGGATTAAGCCCCATACTTCTCTCTTCTATCGGCCCCACCATCAGCGAGATTGGACTCCTCTCGCTCAGACGTCCTATCTTGTCCTTATTGCTTACATTCGGAACTGTAGGCGTCTACCCCTCGCGCATCCTCTCATACGTGGACGACTCTGCACTCGACATTATTGGTGAACCCACCACACTGGCTGTGTTTCTAAACGAGACACGCGTACATGATACCGTACGCAAGAGAGCAGCTGCTATCTCCGTGGCGCAGTATGTCGTGGTAGCTTTGGCCGTGTTCAATGTCTTTTATACGTCGTGGCAGCTCGGCGTGGCCACTGTGCTCAACTTTGTCTGCCAGAGCTCCTTCATGCCCCTAGTCTGGACCACACTGCCAGCCTTCATTCACCTGCCCGCAGCCCTAGCTTTGCGTGCCAACAAGAAGAAACCAGCCACGGTATCGACGTCCGAATCCACAAGAGCTATGAATTGTTCAAAGTCCCTGATTCGGCCATCTCTCACCTCCGAAGTAACCCTGCATGCGATGCGAGAGGAGCCAATCGACTTGGCCGCCCTCAGACCAACGCCTATGTTGATCTTCTGGCGCTGGGTGGCGACTGTACTGTCCTTTGTTCATGTACTTGTTGGCATTGTCATCTTCTCCTCATTGCTGTTCACCATGACTACGGATGCGGCCATCATCTTGCTACGATACGCTGCATCAGCCTTGGCTTGTAGGCTGATAATAATCTTTGAGCTCGGCGGTATCCGATGGTCCCGAGCACAGGCGCAGAAAAATGAACGAATGAATGCTACAGCTCGCTAGGCGGTAGGCTCAAGTTTTATAAGTTTGTTTTATAACAATAAATGCACTGCCGCTGGATGGAGTCTTGCCGAGAGTCGATCGTGTAGCCCCCGAAAATGCCACACCATGAGAAAAAAACATCTTGAATCATCTTTTCGATGTCATGTACCTCGAAATCCATAATGTCCCACCAACGGGAAGATCGGCATGATATCTATAGAATATGACTGTGTAGGTAACTTCTTATTTGTTGGATTAATGGAGTTTCTCTCGTTGTTGGTGAAGACTACATTGAATAATGAAATGATTGGGAGCGTTTTTGGAGTGAGACGAGCTGAAAATGACTAAGGAACGCTAGTGTAAGGTTAAAGTCGGGATTTCAATAGTACTCATCATTGTGGGGGCGGGGTTTGGGGCAGAACTTATTTGACAGGTGGCCCTTGTGACCAAGCAATGACAGCGATGAACATATATTACGAAGCTCTGAGCGTCTATGATCGTCTCCGAAATCTTTTACCCACCAGCAGATCATTAAACTTGAATCCTTTCCACTATACATAATCGTAGTCCTCATAATGTGGGGCATGAAGCCTACCGAGACTGCCACACATGGCCGCATCGTCAAGGTGGGAATCATAGGGTAGTCGGTGAATGATCAACAATTCGGCATTGAATTGCATGCTAAATCATCCTAGATGCGGTCTGGTTACGCAAGTGGTCCACGTGCCCTGTATGAACTCTTTATCCCACCTCTTCCAGGTCACATACCTCTACGATGTCTCCGAGGATGCCATGAGACACAGTCTGGAAAAGCTCGCTGGCAACGCGAAACCCAAGATTACCAGGAGCGTTGAAAAGCTTTGCAACGCGCCGGACGTAGATTTGGTCCTGATAGCAAGCCATCACGCTTTCCACGCATCCCAAGCATTACTTGCGCTCCAGGCCAACAAGCATGTCTTCATTGAGAAGCCCATCGCCTTGACTTTGCAGGACACGGACCGTATCATTGCCGGGGACAAGGCTGCGGGCGGCGGTAAAGTCATGATTGGATACATGAGGAGATATGCCGCCGCTTTTGTCGATGCGGTAAAAGAGGTCGGGAGCATTGAACAAATACGCTATGCGCGCGTTCGAGACATCATCGGTCCCAATTCAGTCTTTGTGGGACAGTCTGGCACATTTCCAAGAACATTCAATGATTATCAAGAGAAAGATTCTGAAGCGTTGCGTAAAAAAATCACCGAAGACATAGAACAAGCTCTTCGAACCGAGTTGGAAGTCACTGTTACGAAGGAGACGGATATGATGTGGCACACGCTTTCTATGCTTGGCTCACACGACTTGAGCGCCATGCGGGAGATTTTGGGCATGCCGAAAGGTGTCATTGGATTCTCTCCCTGTGCCACTACTGGCTCGCCGTTCTGGAGGTAGGCTATTATGTCCAAATCCAAATAACCCAGGCTAACTAGGTATGAAAGTGCGATATTCCAGTATCCCAACTTTGCCGTAGCATATGAGTCTGGAGTCGACCAGGTGGCACGATTCGACGCATCAATCGAGGTCTTTGGTGACACCAAGACAGTCAAAGTGTGTATAGATACACCGTTCGTCCGAGGCCTGCCAACAACAATGGTCATCAAGGAGACTTTAACAGACGGATCGTATCGGGAGTCGACCATTCGACGGACATATGAAGACCCGTTCTTGCTCGAGCTACAAGAGATGCACAGATGGGTTACAGAAGGAAAGATACCGAAGACAACCCCAACTGATGCCCGAAAAGATCTCGAGATTTTGGGAATGCTCATGAAGGCTATTGCGCCACAAAAGGCATGAGGCTATGGCTGAGTTGCATTGGTGCGTCTGTTGGCAGTATATCCGGCCATTCAATCTAGTCTTGTTGAGCTCCCTAGACTGGCTTGTGAAAGAGCATGTAGTTGCGTCACATCAGGTTATAAAGACTAAGCCCCTTCTATGCAGGGATCGAAGCTACCGGCAAATCTAAAAGGTAGGCCAGACAAATACTAAGTTATAGAAAACACGGCGAAAATGTCTCAAAGAGAACCCGGTGTCATCCATCAATTCCAAGCAGATCCCATTATCGAAGATAGGCTTACTGATAATACTTTACTTAAATCTCGTGTGTTAATCGGATGCTCTCTTGGGAGTTTGTCGAATGATCCACCATTCAGCGAAAATCAGGTTTGGAATCCAGCTCGTGAAACCCGTGAGCGTCAATGCCGGCTCTGTTTCCATACCAAGAGAAATAAACAGTGGTAGCTGCCAGCGCAACATGACAGCGGCATAGGTGAGAGAAAAGTTTCGGGCCATCCAATTCCGGTGTTGAGCGACTTGACCAGACCATATTGTGCTCATTCCCATGGCTGCGGTCGCCAACCAAATCAACCCTAGAAACGCGAATGCGTACTGACCCAGAGGACGACATAGAGAAGTGAAGGACACGTAGAATGCATTGATCCCACCCATCAAAATTCCCAGTGCATATAAACGACCTATCCACCGATGGACTTTGGGATATTTCCGTCGGATGCTAGCAAGGAATTGAAAGGGGCCCAGCAGCATGGCAGTCAGCCCACCCACAATGTGGCTAATCCCGAAGAGTGAGGAGCGAATGCGGTCAATGATTGCAGAGTCGCCCACTCGGTACACGTCGATGAGGAAATTGGCAGCATAAGCGGCGATTAGGAACGCAGGCACGCTCAACAGCCACCATTGGTCGGGCCTAGAAGTCTTTTGTGGTCGACTAAGTTGGGTAACACTGTTGTTGGTATGACTTTTCCCGGATAAAGGAGTGGCAGTCCGCCGTTGGACCAAGTTGTGGGCGGTGGTGGGTAATGAAATGGCAGAAGACATGATTGAAAAGTTGAAGACAGCAGTGATCGTTGATCTGCAGGTAAATGAAAGTTTGGATAGTCTGCTTGGGTTTCGAATTTAAAGTATGTTAACTGAGTGGAGTCGCGGGGACTTGGTAACGGCCGATCTCTTCACCGGGGCGGAGATATCGGCCGGCCGCTTACGTATACTAGTCGCTGCAATCTTGGCAAACCTAATAACATGACGGCACTTGGAAAATCTGAAAACGGCGACCTGAAAACGGATGAACTTTATTCATAAATGTGTTTTGCTGCAGTAACCCGATAATAATCAGGAGTTGACGCTGCACTGCCCCGCTTCATAACTGTCCATGGCAATTCCTTGTCCATTACCACTTGAAATACGATGTCTGCGCATTGAGATGATCTGACAAGAGTCCTTCAAGATGCTCTTACACAAGTTTGAAGCTGCATTGGGCTCTGATTATTTGGTCTAATTGCATGAGATTGAGAGCAATCCGAGCGCAGATTCGTGCGAAAATGTGTAATGGGTATGGTACAATAGTTGTTGTGTTACTTGAGTTATTCACATCCAACAGTGGTTGGATGGTCAAAGATATATACAAGTGTGGAGGAGCGCTCCACTTATCCCTACACTCTGATAGTAGGGGGTACCCATAGCAAGCACGGAGGCCAAGGAATTCTTATTTCCTGATTCGGTTCCCTTGAAGGGAGGTATGTGGAGGGTGGCAGCACCCACTTCACAACTAGCGACCGAAGATTCTGGTCTGCCTGTTATGGAGGACGATTTGGAATAACAAACTGTTCTGGTTCTCCGACATCCTTATCGCAGTGGCTTCGGCGACCCCCAAGGTGTCAAGTCCAATCTGCTATTTCCCGGAGGTTCTGGATTACATGCACGCTAGGTCGTTCCGGATGATCGAATGGCCGAAATTCAGACTATATTGTTCTTGGCAACTCATGGCGTGTTAAACCCCTGCATACCCCATGCATCCAAAAGGATGAGAGACATAAACATGTGTTGCACTTGTCAGGATACCAGGTATATGTAGGTACATAAACGTGCAGCCAACAACAGGACATACATTCCGGTGGGGGTGGCGGCCGGGTCGTCCCGGGGCTGCAAGCGACACTGGCCACTCAATTTTATCGGGTTGGTCGGCGGTAAGGCTACATAGAGGTAACATGCAGCCACCAACACGGAATGCATTCCGGTGGGCACGGGCACGGCCTATTTTGATTGCACGGTGACTGCCAAGGTCTCAGCCCTGGGGAGCTAGCAACGTTATTCGCATTCACAATACATCTGCTACTAGCTAGATATCCTGAAGATCAAGAGCCTGTCTCGTTATATTATCATAGAATTGGCCACCCTTTCCCTCTGCGAGGTAACAATTCCAGAGGGGCTACTAGAATTTAACTCTGGTCTTTCGTTAGATGCGATCCCGTACCCAGATGATCTCACATGCTCCGCCTAAAAGGCTCTTCGATATACAGCCTTGGTGTTGCAATAGGATTTCAAGCCATCTACACCCCATTCCACGCCAAGCCCACTCTGCTTGTGCCCTGCAAAGGGGGTGCTTGCTACAATCTCTGCATGAGTGTTGATCCACACGCTCCCAGCCTCAAGCTGATTGGCAACGCGTACAGCCTGCTCATCATCGCGCGTCCATACGGAAGCGCCTAGGCCAGAATCAGTGCCATTGACCCTCTGTACGACGTCGCTTTCATCCGACCATTTCAGCAGCGGTAGCACAGGGCCTTTGGGATGAATCAGTCAAAAGGTTTCGGGGCAGTCAGCAATTCAATTCGGCAGGAAGGGGAGGACTTACCGAACTGTTCCTCCTGCACAATCGCCGAGCTCTCTGGTGGGTTATCGATAATAGTCGGAGGGAGGTAGTAGCCCTTCTGGCCTGGGACTGACTCGGCACCTCCTGCCGCGACGGCAAATTTGGCATCGTTAATATCCGCGATTATCTTTTGGACACGCTTGAAATGGAGCTCATTCGCAACTGGTCCGATAAAGGCGGTCTCGCCAACCCCAAACGGCAAAGCTTGCACATGCTTGACCAAGGCGTCCAGAAATTGGTCGTAAATGGACTCATGGACGTAAACTCGCTTGATCGACATGCAAATTTGGCCCGAGTTGCAGAACGCAAATAATGCGATTTTGGTCGCGGCAACGACTGGATCGACATCGGCGCATACAATTGCAGCATCATTGCCGCCTAATTCAAGTGTAACGCGCTTAAGCGTGTCGCTACATGACTTCATGACCGCCTTTCCAGTGGGAACAGATCCTATCGCGTTGTTTCCACGGATTAGAAAATATTCTTAATCAAGCAACAACGATAAGGAAATCTTACCTGTAAAGCTAACCATGTTCACAAGCGGGTGTGTTGTCAGGAGAGGGCCGAGATCATCACCTCCGCTTAGTGCCTGGAGGACTCCTGGTGGGAAGAATTGCATGCCTAGTTCGGCCAGCTTGAGGCCAGAGTATGGGGTGAAAGGCGACGGCTTGAGTATAAAGGCATTTCCAGTCAGCAATGCCGGGCCGAGCTTTGCGCCGGCCAGGTGCACCGGATAGTTCCAAGGGACAATACCGACTGCGACACCGAGCGGCACATAGCTCTTCACGATCTTGCGGTCTGGTGCATCCTCAATAGTCTCCTCAGGAAGTGACAGTTCGCAAAACCCCTTGAGAAAGCCTATATCTGTTGCTAGCTCGTGCCTTGCCCACAGGATCTAAGAAGACAAGGTAGGCAAAAAGGTCAGATATGATGCGTAATTCTTCAAATCTAAACATCAGATTCCTTACCGGCTTGCCGTGCTCCCATACCAACATCTGAGCAAAGTCCTCGAGTTGTGCCTCAAGGGCAGCCGCAAAGTTGGCAAGAGCGTTCTTTCGCTCATCCCAGGGCACCGCAGCCCATTCTTTGGCTGCCTCATGGGCGATCTTTACGGCCTTGTCAACCTCATCTGATGTGCTGAGGGGGGCTTCGGGGTTAGCTTCCAAAGTCGAGGGGTTGATGGTGTGTCTTGTTTTGACGGTTGGCTCGAGCTTTCCATCTATGACATTGTAGAAGGTTTTGAAGTCCATTTTGGCATTGCCTGAGGTCTCGGAAGCCATTATTTGAGCCGTGTTGTTGACTGGGGTGTGGGAAGCGATAAAGCCTGGTAGATAGTGATGCACCGCCAATGAGACGATCTGATCTGATCTGGAAGTATATGTTATTCAGCAAGTAGCGAGTGCAATAACGGACGATGCTGGTGCGAGAAGTGGGATACCCCAAATATGATACCAACTATTTGTAACCATCCGAGATCTTGGTGAGAGGAGACCAGGGTACGAAGGGAGTTGGCTTAGTAATTCTTCTGGATATGCTGTGCAGCACCAAATTCCTGTCTCGGTAACCGTTATGTAGTGCCTGCATTCTTTCTAACATAGCCCTAACATATCCTCTACTCGTATAGTACGGACTGCCTCATGCATGAAACGTTATGCGGGTGGAGGGCTGCAATTGTCGTTCATCTACAGGTGGCGTACATGATGGCGCATGCAGCCGACAATGTCGGCACCCAACATAATTGCCTGCGCCATCGTATGCGCTGTTTTTGCAACGATATTCGTTGGGTTCTGCCTGTGGTCACGAAGAATTCATCATGGCCGCCCAAAGCTAGAAATCAGCGACTGGCTTAGTATCACTCCCTGGGTTCGTGGTCCCTGCCAAATTGATCCTGAACGAGTCGATGCTAACAATAGATAGTTTCTATCCATGCCCTACAGTGTCGTCGTGGGTCTGGGTACGCGGTATGGCGGAGGTCGACATATCATTATCATCACTAATGCGCGGGTGCCTCAAATTGTCAGCATTTCTTCAAATTCATCACCCCACTATCTACCTTTTCGGGGCCAAATCTCCCCATCGTGGGGATTAATTTGCTGACCGCCGCCATAACGGGCCCGCCATAACGCGATAGCTCAGTATCGTCGACGAGGATCTGTACGCCGTCATCCTGGCGCTACAGAAGTTCAGCATATTGAGTCTATACAGAACAATCTTCGGAAGCAACCCCTGGTTCTACCGGCTTACGTGTGTGACAGGGGTGGTGGCTGCACTGGCTCTGCAGGTGATTGTATGCCGATTTCGTAAACCTAGGATCTTACAATCACTGGCACGTGCATCAATTATAGGGCTGAGTTTCTTGCGGCGTACGTCATCAACATCGTCACACACCAATTCCTCTTGTTCTGCGGCTCAACGCGTCAAAGTCGGGGAGGCGCGGGCTTCTGGTGGTGTTTATTGCCGGCGGAGGGTAAAGTATATGATAACTGTTATATGGTCTACGCGAGGAACGTTCTAAACCACTCGGATGCTTGCGCAGCAGCCAAGTCTGCTGACTCATTTTCTACCTCTTTACTGCGGTCTGCACGTACAGCAAATCCATGGCCGCAATTGCTGTACATCTTGATTTCCAAGCGAGAGGGTTGCTCATCCACTGGGTAGAACTTTCGCAATCCTGCCTCGAGCTCAGCGGCACTCTCTTTGGGCAGTATTATATCCTCATCACCAACGGCGATGGAGACGGGCACAGAAAAACGAGACAGGAACTGAATCATGGCCGCCGGTTTCAGCCCAGATGGATGAGCCACAAATTGCGCATGGACTAGAGGCTCTTGATGTTGATTTGCATCGTTCTCCGTAGCCACGCTCTCTGCACTCAGTTGCATGGTGTGCATTGCGCCCCAACAAAACCCGGCGACGCCCAATTTCTTGCCCGACTCTAGACCAGCTCGCACCGCACGCGTGTAGGCAAGTATATGAGGATATACATTCCTAGTCCGCCGCGCGAACGGAATGAAGATGCTCAACATGCGCACCACAGTTGAGATTCGCACGAGCTGGCCCCAGACATTCCACCATGCAACGGGTTTCCGCACTGAATTCATGAGGTCCAAAGAGTACAAGGGAACCCCGCCTCCGGGGATAATATCGGGGACGAGAACGCAAAAGCCCGTCGATGCGGCATAGACATCTGCCAACAATTGGCTGTTTGCGAGATTGAAGCCAAAGGCATCCGTGATCAAAACGATGGTTGTTCCCCCCTGGTGCGGCGACGCGCCACGAGCGACATAGGTGCGAACACCGTGGACTGTCGTTAATGTCCCAGTAGGTTGTGCTCGCCATGCCGAGCCGGCAAAGCAATCAGGGCAAGACATATCTTGCGCAGGTCTTGATCAAAGTCAATAGGAGATTTATCATCAATGATGAGAAAGGAGAATATCAAAGCAAGACACGCGAATGGTCACGAGAGTTTGGCGGGACTTTCGAGAAGAGGGGCTGAGCTATATACCTTGGCCAAGAACAACCAATCAAAGCACAGACCGAGGCGATTCAGTGCGAAAGCGAAATGCATACGCCAAGGACCAGCGGTGGGTACGAAGTAGCATGTAAATCCAGGTACCAGAGTTCTATGATGAGCTAATTTTGGAATCCTTGGCGACTGGTCTTGGGGATTGAAAAGCTGATTGTTGTGTTACAAAGACTTGTTATTGCACTCGTGAAAAGGCATGATAGGTACGGGTAGTAGTTGTTGTATTAGTTGAGTTGTTCATATCCAATTGAGGTTGGATGATTATTCATATGAATCGTTTCAGAACCCATTCAAGTTTTGACCCCTCGCCATTATCTCCATTCCCAGCCTGAGCAAAGCCAAGTTCCGCTTCGGATTGAGGCTCCTTGCCCTCCCCTCTGACGATTTCGCCGCGTTTGACGTTTTATTCCAGTGCGCGAGGGCCTGCTCGATGATCGTGTTGTTGCCGACGACATCGCCGAGGACGCTGACGATGGATGCGTTGCCGCCGCCAGAGACGCCGTTGATGAAGGCGCTGGCAAACTCGATGACGGAGATGTAGAGGTGCAGGCGCTTGGCATTGAGGATGCGCTCGACGTAGGGAATGTGCAGGCCATCGATGACGGTCTGATTCCCGACGGCGTCGATCTGGATCTGCCCATTGTTGAGCGACTCGGCCTCGGCGTCGAGGAACCGGCCGAGGTTCTGCACGATCTCGGATAGGAAGAGCTCTCCGTAGAAGGGCAGAGAATTGTTCCCGGGCTCCATGACCAGGTCATAGATAGTGATTAGCCCGATGTTGAGGTCGCCAGCGACGAGGTTGAATGACACATCGCCCAGGTGTAGTGCCAGGACGCCCCAATTGGGGATGTTCAGCATTCCGTGCATATTCGTGCCGTTGTCTAGGGCCGGAAAATTCAAGTACATGTCCTAAGTCACAAGTTACTAATAAATCAAGAAGGTAATCTCTGCATAGGAGGTTCTCCAATCATGCCATCTGCGAACTACATGTGTAGATATGATTACAGCTATGCGTAGATGTCAGGTGTCAATACTTACTGTGATGCTGAGTCCTGCTAGGTAATTAAGCGATGAGAACTCGACTGTCTTGTCTATATGCGCTCCATAATGTAGTGAACTTAGGTGGATTGTGGTGTCGCCGCGAACGGAAAGGTCAACACGTGGATCGTCGAATACGTGATTGAACCAATACTCTAGCTCTGTCTCGTTTGTGACAGTAGCAGTTTGATTGCTGATGAATATGCTGGTGTCTCGACCGATATGTGTAGATGGTATAGTTATGTTGAGAAATGGTGTGAAGTCGCTGCCTTCTTGCGTTTCGCTGTTGTAGAGGAAGAGTGTTGTTTCGTCGATAACCGCTGGTATTGGGGTATCTAACGATGTCTCGAGTGATACCATCAATGTTGCAGGTGTCATTGCCACAAAAGTGCCCGAGTATACCGGCAGAGTCTGATCACTGACAATACGTCGAACTATTGCTGGCAGAATAACAAGGAAACTGTGCGAGAGAGCATATCAGCATCAAGCGTGACAAACTTCGTGCTGGCAATTACTTACAGCAGTGGCAACAAGATGATGAGCAGGATGATGGCCGCAGCCAAATACCACCATTTGAATCGTCCGCAATGGCGTCTCAACTTTTGTTTCTTCGTAAGAACTACGGGCGCTTTCTCGTACACATGGTCAATCGAGGAGGCATTGTCTGAGGGTCTCGCAGCCGCTGTTGTTCCAGCACCGCCAACTGAGGTATTCACGGCATTGTTGTAAGATGGGGCGTTGGGCACGACGTGCGGAGTATTGCCCTGAAGACCTGATGCCATATTTCATGAGAAACATAGACTCGAACAACAAGCAATGGCGGTACCAGAGAAGGTGCGTACCGCTTGAGAGAATGATGGTGCTGTTGCAGGCTCAACTAATAGCGTGACGGCGCCTGCGCCTCGGTGCCACGCTTGGTATATACCAGCCAGCGCACAAACAGGCGATTACAGGTCTTGTTGATCTGCCGTCTTGATCAAGTCACACGATGGCAAGCCAAAGTAGGTTTAGGTTCGGTACTAACTTGGTCATGGATTTTGGGTCCAGGATTCTCAAAGATCAGCATACCCGTCCTACCCCACGATACTATAGTGAGTTTTCCCCGCACGGGAACGGGTGATCACTCCACCACTACATCGCCTAGAATGCCCGCCTAGGTTAGAATGCTTCCCTAGTAGGGTAGCCTTTAGCCCCAACACACCCGCTAAAAACTTGCTGTCCAGTGCATGCACACTTCGCAAGCTCTGTTATTGGATGAAATCTTGATTGCATGTGTATACTATTCTTTTTGCAGCACCCTGAAGGGCATCTTTCAATGGTGGCGCCAAGGGCAAAACCGAGGAACTTTCAGCCCAAGTCTGGCGCATTAGTATGATTTCCTTGTTGAAACTGACGCTGACTGGATGGAGGGCGCATGACCATCGCCCCCGTTGCAGGTGCTTCTCTACGCGCCGACAGCGTACCGAGCCAATCGGCCGGTAAGCATTTCCAACCTTGACATGTGCTACCGTTCACCTTCAGTGTGTAACCTCCTCGCAATATCCATATCGTGACATCAGATATTCCTATAACCTCAATCATTGTGTCGCAGTTACGGCGCCCACTTCATCTTTCTGGCGTGGAGGATGAGCAAAAGGGTAATAGCTAGTGTTGAATGTTAGCCTGCGCCCTACAAGAAGATGTGGATATCTCGTTCAGACAAGGTCTCATTGCTCAACAACATCTACATGACTGTTTGTGAAAAAAGTCAAATATACCGTACAATCGATTAGAAATTCATGCATAATCATGAGAAGGCATAAGTGTAAGAATATATACCAAATACGGCAAAAAGTCCATCATTTTTCTCATCCAAGACCAATCTAAAATTCATGCATGACTGCCTACTTCGTATACTTGGCTGCCATAAAGTCCACATTGCCCTCCTTATCCACAATCCCCACGCGCTGGTGGTAAGTCCTCGCCCTGATATAGGGGTCCAGCTTCCAGTAGTTTTGACGAATCTGATCTGCCACATCCTTACGGTTTGACTGCTTCTCGCTCATGCTGGGGTCATCTGTGCTAATAGAAGCCCACTGCGCTGTCTCTTTCTCAAACGCCTGGATGAGCTCGTCGCGTTCCTTCTGGATCTCGTCTCTCTTCTCGATATCCTTCAGTCTCTCATCTTCACTTGCTTCAGGTTCCACGTATTCGTAATCCCAAGCGTCTCCGCCGCCGTAGTCAGTCTGGAGATTCTCCTCGGGGATGAATTTGAGCAGATCCCCGGTCCTGCGGGTGAAATTGATTTTCGATGCAACTACGGGATCAAGGAGACCTTTGATGATATTCCATAGACCTGTGCCAAGTCTTCAGCTCAATAACCAAATGTAAGCATATTTCAGTCATACATACCCCAAAACACGAATGGTGCATTGTGTACAAGCACCACACCCAGCGTCTCTGGGTATCTAGCCTCGAATACGGAGAGCAGAAATTTGACGACATGAAAATCCATATTCTTGAGCCCGAACCCAGTCAAGTCAAAAAGCAAACAGCACTTATCGTACGGCGGCTTAATAAGAAGCCTGATGCTTTCAATGTTATGCAACACGTAGTCTTCCATAGCTTGAGCGGATTGAGCATTGGGATCGTGCAGCCGGACGCGGATGACGTAGACGGGGCGGTGCTCGTAATCAGTACCGCGGACGTAGCTCTTGCCGGAGCGATACTGGCTGACGAAGCCGGCCTCGTCGGGCGTGGGGTCGGCGCGCAACGCCGCGCTCTCGCCCGTCAGAATCACCGTCTCGTCGAGCCGGCGCTCGTCCCGCCACGCCACGGCCGACAGCAGCATCGCCAGCGCCCTTTCCACGTCCCACTTGCGCGCCCGCAGGAACCGCAGCACCAGTGCGTCTGGGTCTTCGGACAGGATAAAGTTCCACAGGCTCCGTCGGAAGGCCGTCGGCTCAATGGTCTTGGTGTCTTGTGCAAATGCATTGCTGAGCCTGAACGATGGCGCCGATGATGCCGCGTCGCTAACGTCGCACAAGCGGAGCAAATGGGCCCATGTCTCCTGGAGCTTTTGTTTTTCGGTCTTGTCCAGACTGCTGAGGCTGTCGAAGCTGTTAGGTGTACTGGTCATCTTGGGCGTGAACCTTAACAGGTTTATGGCTTGGTTCCAAGTACGAGTGTATTATCCGAGTATCATAGAAATTCGACTGGCAGTAGTGCAAATGATTGGTATAGCCCGAGAATTTAATACCAACCCGAGATCCTGGGATGTATTATTCCAATTCCCGTAAAGAGTTTATCCTATTGGCACGCCGAGCTACCATGTGACTCTGTTCGATAGATAGGTATACTTGGCGAGAAGTCGTGTATAACATGGAGCATCGGGCCAGAAACGGATGGTACGTACCATTCACGCAGAAGTACCGATACGACACCGTCATGACCATTATCACTAGTATGTCTGCTCGATGGTGATCGAAATGAAGCTAATTCCCCGCATCCAAGCCATGCACAGGGGCCTGGGGTAGGGCATGTGCTCAGATGCATTAGCGTGTCACTCCGGGAGAGGTGAGATTTTATATCTGCATATCGCTGTGGACGTGTATTTGTCATTCGTCATCAGGTTTAATAAAGTGCAGCCTTTGTAGGAGAGTTGGTTGGCGAATACGGCCTTTAGGCTTTAGCAGCTCGTGAAACTCCATGATGCGGCTAGACGGGATGTGACATCTTCGGTGAAGGCCTCTGGAGACGTCATGCTGCGTGCAATCATCACCAATCGTTTGTGGTGAGTGGCCATCGAACTATTCCCGAGAGAAATATTGTTAAATTATGAGTTGATATTGATAATATTGGTTAGTGCCGCAGTTGGATTAGTTTTATGAAGCCATTGAAGATGAAGCACAGAGAAATAGAATTTATATCTACCTATAATTACATCTGTATTGAGATGAGAATTATTTCTGGAATATATAGCAAAACTGATATAATTATTCAAATACCAAATCCGTGCTCAAATCACCCCATTTAGCCCCAGCCAGATTCATGAAGTAATTTGACTTTGGACTCCACTGTCCCGTGCCACCCTTGGGGAACACCTTGCCGGCCGTCTTGACATAGGTCGAGGACAGGTTCATCATGGGTTTCTCCTGCATGTTCGCAGCGTCGGGGACCTTGGGGGTGGCGACCTTTGCGCCGCGGCGGTCCATCTGGCGGATCAGACGCAAGAAGAGCTGGGCGCTGACGTCGGCACCAAGGGTCCAGGAGGCGGTCTCGTAGCCGGTCATGAAGAGCATATTGGGCACGTCTTGAAGCATGGCGGCCTTCCAGGCGAACTTGTCGGCAACCTCAAAGGTCTCGCCGTCGAGAGAGAACCGAATGCCACCGCCAAAGCGCAGCCGCAGGCCCGTCGCCGTCACGATCACATCAGGGTGGAGCGACGCGCCGCTGTCCAGCTCGATGCTCCGCTCCGTCACTGCCGTGATCCGCGCCGTCACCACATCCGCCTTGCCCGACCGCAGCGCCGCGAAAAAGTCCCCGTTCATGCACGCGCAGAACCTCTGCTCCCACGGGTTGTACCGCGGCTTGAAGTGCGGGTCCCATTTGATATCCGGCGGTAGCTGCTGGACGGTCACGTGTTTGATGAACCTTTTGGCCAGGCCGGGACAGGATTGACAGAACCAGGTCGTTAGGTAGCTGCGGAAAAGCCAAATGATCCGGTTGAGCCACTGAGCCATGGCCGATGGTAGGACGGCAAAGATTAATTTTGTTAGAAAGTTGCTAGATGGTAATGAGAAGACATAGGCAGGACTTCTCTGCAGCATCGTAGCCCTTTTGGCCTTGTCCGTTATGGATGGGAGAATAGTGACAGCTGTAGCGCCGCTGCCGATAATAACGACGTCCTGGCCCGTATAGTCATAGTCCTCAGGCCAGAACTGGGGATGGATGACTTTGCCTTGAAACTTCTCAATGCCGGGGATGGCCGTCTGCAAGGGCGTCTCGTAGTCGTAATAACCTGTACCTAGCATCAAGAAGCGGGAATGTATGCTGACTGGGCGTTCACTGCCTGGCGAGCTGACGTTCAAACTCCATTTCTGGTGTTTTGAAGACCAGTCTGCTGCCTCGACTTTGTGACGATACCGTATGCGCCTATCAATACCAAAGGTCTTGGCAGATTTGAGAAGATACTCCTTTATCTGATGTCCTGTCGCCAGTGTATCTGTGTGTTCCCAAGGACTCCAGGGAAAGCCAAATGTGAATATGTCTGAGTCAGAGCGGATGCCAGGGTACTTGAAAAGATCCCAGGTACCTCCAATCGAGTCTCGAGCCTCAAGTATTGCATACTTCAGGCCAGGCGGTCCTTCAGATTGTATGCGGTAGGCTGCATTGATGCCAGAGATACCAGCACCTATGATGACCACATCGAAGTCCGTATCAGACGAAGGCGACTGCAACGCCATTGTGGTGCGTGAAGAGATATGTGAATGATCTGTGCTGGAATTTGTTCAATAGATTTGTGGTAGAGGAATTCATGGACCGAAAAGAAATCGATGACATTGGCTACAGGTTTTCTCATACCAAACCATCTGATACATACCAAAGCATATAAGCATATGAGGTTTTCGATGATCGAAGATTGTGCCGAGCACTACCCTATGCAGACCCGAAAACCGAGTTTTCCAAGCACCGACAACGCATCATCGAGACCCCGAGGTTCACAGCCTCGGCAGTGCTAGAGAAAAAATGAGATGTCGTCAATCACAATGCGCGAACCAACGATAGTGGTGTTTGCATCGCGTTGTGGCAACGATTTTTGTTCCAAGCCGACATAGACTAGACTGATGCTGTAGCGTACTCTGTACAGTTGGGTTGGTGTCTCCCCCGCATGTGTCAAAATCAATTCCCTGGTACAAAGGAGCCCACTGCAAGGTACCTGATAGTGCCAAAGGCGAATCTCCAACACTATTAAGGCCCTGCCCGCAAGCAGGGTAAGAACAGGGAAAAGCGCTTGTCGTTCATGTCGAATGAGTGCAGGACGCTAGTGAATGTTCCCACACCCACCTGAGAGCGGGTGTGGGGGCGATCGCCGTGCTGCATAAGAAAAAAAGACTGTTTTTTTCCTTCTTCAGAGTATCATGTACATCCGTGGACAATCGATACATTGGCTACCTAAAGCTTCATGTAAGGAGTCTGGGGATCTACATATTCAAGCTAAAAATCCATTAAGCATGTTTCAAGTCCTGGGATTAGTCGGAAGTCGGTCATCGCACTCGCATCGTGGTCATATGACTGTACCTAGTATAACATGTGAAGACTCTCCGCCCGGGCAGCGACGACTCCATGCGCCACCAACGGAGACGGGTGTCAGAACGTCAGGACAGAAAATGACATCAGAATCAATGGACACAAAACCGAGGACAAAGATGGTCGTAGTTCACATAGGCAATAATTTACTGCAGTTGAGAACACCCGTTGTATCAGGTCCTCCTAGTACCAATAATTGTGTAGAGCAAATTGAAATTACACCTTGATTGATTAATGTAGACACAAATCTATGCTTCTGATATTGGTCAATTCGTGACATCCTCCTTGAACCGTGCTACCGGAGTCTGCGGCAGCGTGAGCTTCGACAAAAAGTTGTTTGCGTGTTTCACAGCTTCTTGAGCTTGCCGAGCGAACCCAATACGTGATCCCAGCAATAGGATATCGTGAGGACATCCCTTGGATACATGATAAGAAAGAGACCAGCCGTGGGTCCGGAAACACCTAGAGAACTCGCTTATATCATGCAAAAGAACTTCTCGCTCTCCGGCGTGCACAAACACAGGAATCGAAGGATCCAGAGTGAACGGATGCTTCAGTGGAGAAAGGTATGGGCCAGTAGTATCAATCAAACCAGACCCTGACACCGCAATGGCACCCCAACGGCCAAATTCGGCGTTTATATAGTCTGATAGATGGTTGGGCGATAAGAGAATATCCTGGGTCAAGGCCGAGTCAACAGCCACCCACGGCGACCACAAAGTAAGAGCCCGAGGGGAGGGGATATTGAGCTCCTTCCCGTAGTCACTGATGTATCTCATCAGACCAAGGACCATATTGCCTCCGGCAGAGTCGCCCGACAGGATAATCTGATCAGCCGGAATGGATAGATCTCTGATAAGATGGAGATAGGAAGTAAGGGCATCCTGGATCGGTGCCGGAAACTCTCCGCCTTTGCTGCTCGACAACCTGTACTGTGGCGTGAAGACAAAGTCACATTTGAGGTTCCGTAAAAGGCACTGGGCCAGCAGGCCAGTGTCGTGATCGCGGCCATCGCCAATCACAAAGCCTCCGCCATGAAAGTGCAGCACAAAAGTGGTGCCGGCGCCTAATTTTTCAGTGTTTGGTCTGGCTGGTGTCCATGTTCCGCCGATGGTGGCCGGGCGTATGAAGGGATCATCCAGCGGCGCCCTGTACAGTTTTGATGGGGATGGATGGATGATCTCAAATCTGTCCCGCTCGCGACCAGGCTCCAGCCTCAAGCGGTCACCCCAGCGAGTCCGTGACCAGTATAAGAGCACCAGCCTGACTGTGCGCATGCGGACTGCCTGATTAAGAGACCACTCCTTGTCCGGTCTTAGTGAAGGTACCAGACAAAGGGTGATGTCGAAGAGGTAGAGCAGAAGCAGCCACGGAGTGGCCATAGCCAAAGAAACATATGACTTGATATAAGCCATTTGCACGATTGCCCAATGTGATTATTGGAAGGATGTGAAGACAGCAAAATAGTGGTCGATATCTCTGTGCGTGGGAGCCATTGTGGGATCTAGGTAGGGATACAATATTTATATAAAGCCGGAGAATATAGGGCTGGGCACCAGTAGCGGGGCAATGGGTGAACCGATTGGTTGATTGCATGGAATGGCATCAACTGCCGAGTACGATATACCTGCCTAGGTAGACAGCGATTCTCAGCCGGCATGTGCCTACGGAATGCTGCTCACTTAAAAGCAGATCAAATCTTAAATTCAATAACAATAATCTCTACAGATGGGTCATTACGGGTAGTAATGCGTGGCAGCGGATTGATCTTTGGTTTTTGACGAATGGTGTTTAAGATTGTTACTATAGTCATTTACTAAGAGAATGTTACGATCACATTATAGCGACTCTTTGCCAAAGCGAGGATTGCGTGAGAAAACAAATGTAGACTAATCATTTTGCTTTACTTACAGTTTACTGATTGTTGGCTAAACGACAAAAAGTCCTTTCACATATCAAAAGTTTACCACGTCCCTATAGTGACTGCCTTCCTAGTATGTCACGAAGCAGCTCCTGTAACCAACTCGGCCAGCCTCTAATACCGGCGATGGGTGAAGCAGATTTGGGGATAATCAGCTGACCGCCTCTCCTGCTCTTGATTTGCGCCACTACAGGATCTGCAATCTGTTTGGGCATCATCATGCGTACTCCCGAGCTCTCCAGATGCCCGGCAAAGTCATCCACCAGAGGAGTGCGGACAAAGTTTGGATGAACGACCGTAGTCAGGACGTTGGGTGATTTGTAGTAGTGTTTGAGCTCACAGGCGAGCGATTCGTGAAACGCCAGAGCGCCCGCCTTGGACGCCGAGTAGTCGGCGCCAGTGGGTAGGGCCACAAAAGACGCGATGCTGGCGACAGTAACGACGTGGCCCTTGTTCATCTGGATCATGTTGGGCAGGAACTGCTGCGTCGTCAGCCATAGCGACAGGCAGTTGACGTCAAACACCTTGCGCAACAGCGACTCGGGCATCTTGAGGATGGGCATCGGGCGAGCGATGCCGGCATTGTTGACTAGGATCGTCGGGTGGCCGAGTTCGCGGCGGATGGCCTCACCTGCCGCGGCCACAGACTGAGACGAGGTCACGTCGCACTGGTAGAACTTGATGCGCGCATCCGACTCCATGGACTTGGGCAGAGATTGAATGTCGAGAACGGCAACGCGCACTCCCAGAGATGTGAGGTTTTCGACAATGTCCTTGCCAATACCGCTGGCGCCTCCTGTGACTACGGCGATTTCTTGAGGCCAGTCCCAACCTCGGCTTTTTGTAAGCCTCCACGAGTTCGTAGCCATAGTGCTGAGCCATTGGTTTACTTGACGAATGATGCTGAGTGCAAAAAGAGCACGGATGGCTGTGATGGCAGATCGCTCTATCAACTGCAATGATGCATCGTTGGCAATAGGGAGGCACGAGATGATTGCAGAGATGGCCTTATGGGTGACCTGAGGAGCGAACGTTGCTGTAAATAGCAGGGGTCCAGATATAAGTGGTGATAAAAGGACGTGACGAGCAGATGTCGCGATGTCAAGGACTGGAGAGTACAGAATTGAGGCCATAGCTGGGTAGTATGATATGTATTGCGTTTTTAGTAGATGATTCAGCAGAAAGCACAGGGCTTGAGTGAAGCCTTTTCGTAAGGTCAATGCCGGCACATCTATTAAAATGTATTTCGAAAAGTTGAGGTGATCGTATACTTAGTAATAGTTAATCCTTATGGCGATATCACGAACACCAATTTTCAATCTCCAGAACCTGTTTACACCATCAGATCGGAAGGCTTGGAGTATGCTCCCGTTGGTGATGCAACAGCCAGTGGGGAGCAAACCTCGGCTTGCGTGTCAAAGGAGTAGTTGACATCTGACCTTTAACGTTGCTCGCAAGCTAAACTTCAGCGGGTTAGAGCCTCCCCACGCCTTGGGGAATGCAGCTGGCAGTACATAGCAGCTCTGCCAGGGGTACTTTTCTGGCTAAGCTTAGGGGCGCCGGGACCCGCCCTCGCGGCTTCCCCAGAATTTCGAGCTTTCCACCGAATCCCCAATGTTTTGCTCTCACATTTTGCTTGATTCCAACATTATTCCGAGGATTGTTCCCTGCCAACCTGAAAAATACCTCCTCTTATCACCAATGATCCATTCCGGGTTGTCGTTTTCATAATCGTATCTTTCTCTCGCAAGGAACGATTGTAACCATGCGCATCATCTCCACTCTACTTGGCTAACCCTAGTACTATACTTTTCGGCAATGGTCTTCCCAGGACGGTATAGCACTGGGTGTCAGCGCTGCCGCCAGCGCAAGATCAAGGTCGGTCTTTGATTCTTCGGAGCATGCATTGCAAGAGCGATGTGGATATCCATTCTCGTCATGATAAGCTGAACACACAGAAAGTTTGCGCGAGTGGGCTGGACAGCTAACGGGTGCAGTGCGACGAGACTAGGCCATCGTGCAGACGCTGTTATCTCTATGGCAAGCCGTGTCCCGGCTACAGCGATCAGTTCCATTTTCGCATACATGCTGCCAGCTCCAAGGTTACAACACCGCCAAAGGAGGAACTTCCCGATACACAACAGCCCCGTCGACGGTCTACTTCGCAGCAAAAAGATGCCACTGGTGTAGTTGTCAAAAACAGCGGGACGCAAGTGTCGCTTGCGCCGTCGCTCGCCATCTCATACGATGAGGTTTCACTTTGCTACTTCATTCGTCGTTTTGTCACGCCATGCGAGGCAAAAGACAATTTCCCCGGCCACCTGAGTTTCCTTCCTAGTCTCTACAGGCACCACGACCATGGCATCTTGGAGCTTGCAACGCTCGCAGTCGCCCAGATGGCGGCCTTTAATCAATTCGGCGGCAACACCTTTCGCCTACAATCTTATCAGAACTATGGGCGCACCGTCGCGGTGTTGCGCAACTGCATCCAAAACGAGATTGACATCACTGACGATAGAGTCCTCGCTTCAGTAATACTGCTGTGCTTGTTCAAGGTATGTGGCCTCAGTGTTTCGGGGACCTTTCATCTCCAAACTGCTAACATCGTTGCAGGATATCAGCGGAGAGGACTGGGGCGACCCTTGCGAGCATGCTTCGGGTCTGTACTATCTCCTGGAGAGAAGAGGCATCGAGCAGCTTTGCACCAACAGAGGCTTCGAACTATTCATGTTGGCTCTAATAAAACTAGTGGGCTCTACAGATTCTGGCTGCTATTTCGCGGACTAACAATCTTTCAGCAAGTATACTCGTTCCTTAGAGGAGATGACAGGTATGGCGATCCCGGAAGTCTAGTCGCGTCGCTCAGTGTGTTCGATCCGATGATGCGCGCCATGTCACTGATGACCAGAAGCGTCTCTCTTCGGCGCAGTCTGATGATGTGTGAGGAGGTCACAAGTGCGCCTGAAGGACAAGACGAGGCGGGTTGCCTGTCAAGCGATCATCTCGACAATACCGCGCACGAATCTTCAATTCTTCTAGAGTGCTTCAAAGCACTCGACGAGTTTGATAGCTGGGATGCCGAGGCCGGGGCATACTGGAAACAGATATTTGAAAGCCGCGGTGCGCCACCCGGACTGGGTGAGGTCGCGACCAAGGGGGGCTTCTATGACCCTGAAACAGCGTGCACCATCATATTAGTCCGATCCGCGCGGCTTGTCCTGTTGCTGAGCATTCTGGAATATTGGCAGCGTGCCATTGGCCTGAATGTCACTGAAGAAGGTGCTTGTAGCAAGTCTGTCGTATCGGCTGAGCTTGTATCATTTCTGGAGCAAAATACTCGCTCCACGATTGATGACATGGTCTCATTGGTGCCTTTCGCATTAGGGGATGTGGACTCTGATGGAAAAGCCGTCTCGTTGCCGCACGAAGGGGCTCCCGCGCTTATCATCTTGCAACCGATGAGGCTAGTCACATATTGTCCATACGCAACGGATCAACAAAGGGCATATGGCCGCCACATACTAGATCGCTTGAATCTAGGTATCGGGGTACGGTCTGCTGTGTCGTGGGAGCAGACTAGATTCAACACTGTAAGACATCCTGAGGGACCCCTGGAGACTGGTGCTAGTACTCCTTTGGTGTCATCTTGTGATATAATGACATAGCTTTGATACAACAATGACTGTTATATGATTGTTAAGCCTGGATACAAATCAAATGTGCACACTCGCAATTTGTTGGAACTTGCAACGCTCTCATACTTGCTTTTCTTGCCTAGTAGACTTAGTCGTACACTCTGACCGGGTCAATTACTGTCCTGGCCGTCTGCAAGGACTTGTCATCGGATTCTTGCACCGTCTTAGTCATTCTGGCGAAGTCGTTCATTAGTGCCACGTGATAGAGTATGATGTTTGTGATGCCACACCCAACATTCATGTAGACCGCAAGCCGGGAGCTATTTCAGTTTGGTTTGCGAGACTACTTAGTGGATACTATGTACATATAGTCAACGTTGCTCGGAAACGTGGGGAAAGTAGTCTAATTCTAGATGAAGGAAACTCCATACGGCTCTGATCAGCTGGGCGCCACTCACCTACTCTTAGAGCCCTATTCAGGTTGAATAAGTTCAAGATGATCGGATCCTCATTGATTATCAATCTAAAGTAGTTCGGCTCCGTTGCTTCTTGTACATAGACATGAGTTGAGGATATGAATGCAGATCTCGCAAACTAAGCCTATTTCGATAACAGGCGCTTTTGTTTCGGCCAGGGGTCTGCAAGAGCGAGCCGCATTAGTCTTGCCCAACACCAAAGACGCCCCCACACGAGAGTGACGCAACATCTTCCCCACGTCTTGGATGTACCGAATACTCGTCAACTCCAAAAGATACATCGAAAGCTGACAACATGCTAGCACATGGCATATCTTCTCAAAGCGATCCCCGGAACTTTCATTGCAATCTGTACAAGGTTCCCCAGATCAGCTCCAGGCATGACTGCTGAATGGAACCTTTTTGTACCAGAAGTGGCTTAGTTTGCGATCTGACAGCGAGTAGCAGCTGGGCTCAGATGCGCCAAAAACGTCGGGAGCATAGTGCATGGCCCAAGCGAGATCTGTTCTAGGGACGTTGCCGAGAACGATCAGCAACTGCAACAGAACAGCCGGATGTCAAGGTGTCCGTTGAAGTGTCAATATCCGCTCTTCTCCAGCCATGTTCGGGTTGAGAGCACTTCCAATGACCGACAGAGACTGTAAAGACACGAGCACATGTTAGTATAGCGAGTCCGCTCTCTCGGCCAACGTCAGAAGGATTAGTATACACCTAATGGTCGACCAAAAATAGGCTGCAGCAATTACCAATTCCTCGGGAGTAGTGCACGACCACAACGTCAAGCATATTATTTCAGGATCATTGTCAACCACAAAAGTTCCAGTTGTCTCTTTATTAACATTGTCTCCTCAGCCTTGGGGTTTCCTCATCTTAAAACACGAGATATACCATATTCTTCATCATGGCGGCCTTCGCGCGGCTATTCACTCTGCCAAACCTTACTCTAGCAGCAACCTTCGAGTCGCTCGTCCTTATCAAGTTCCTTGGAAATCGCATCACTGAGATTTTCCCACAATTTGACGCAGACAACCACTTAGGGATCGTCGGTGTTGTTTTTGCAGCCAACTATGTATTTGGATTGTTCTTTTGGGGATTGGTATATCCCAGACTACTGAGTCCTTTGAGACATATTCCCGGCCCACGAGTGAGTGAGATACCTCGGCGCGAGATTTATGCCAGGATTCATAAGCTGATAAAATCTGTTCGCAGTCCGTGATCAGTGCAGCCCATCGCTCTCTACTAGTGGTTGATAGGCCGCCTGGGGATTTATTCCTCGACATTGTTAAGAAGTATCCCGGCGAGGAACTGCTGAGCCTGACCACCTTGGACAGCCAGATCCTTGTGGCTAAACCACGGCTTCCGGCGGATGTCCTCGTGCACAAAGCCTACGACTTCGTTAAACCGCCCAACATCAGCGGGTTCTTGCGCTATATTCTCGGCGATGGGCTCATCGTGGTCGAGGGCGACCAGCACAAGTTCCTGCGCAAGAGCACAATGCCCGCCTTTAGCTTCCGCCACATCAAGGACCTGTACCCAGTCATGTGGGAGAAGGCCGTGCTCATGACCAGTCTCATCCAGGAGGAGGTTGCCAACGGCGTCTCGGAGAAGGGCGAGGATTCTCAAATCATTGAAGTCTCGCCCTGGGCCAGCAAAGCGACTCTCGACATCATTGGTGTGGCCGGCCTGGGGCGCGAGTTCAATATGCTGAGGCGGTCCGCAGACCCTCTGCTCGATGTATACGAGGAGCTGCTCGAACCTGCGCCCGAGAAGCTTCTTTTCTCTGTGACCTCATTTGTCTTTGGCATTCGTTTCGTAAAACTATTGCCTTGGAAGATGAACAACTTGTTCAATTATCTCTCGCAACGCCTCAACGAGATTTGTATGCCAATGATGAAGCAAAAGAAGACAATGATTGAGAAGTCAAAAGATGGCAATTTCGATGTCTTGTCTCTTTTGATCAAGTCGGGTAACTTTACTGATAGTGAGCTCAAAGACCAGCTCTTGACCTTTCTAGCGGCTGGGTATGTAAAATGGAACCTGCAAACTCAACTCAGAGAACTATGAGCTGACTTCACCTGTCGCAGACACGAAACCACTTCTTCCGCCTTTACTTGGGCTTGCTATCTCCTGGCCAAGCACCAGGATCTGCAGCAAAAGCTACGCGACGAAGTCTGCGAGGCTTTCAAGGGCCAGGAAGTCAACGACCAATCAACAGACCTGGGCTCCCTCCTCGAGCCGCTGCCCTACCTCAATGGCGTTATGAACGAGACGCTGCGCCTTTACCCCACGGTACCCATCACCATGCGCCAGGCCGTCCGCGATTCCAATGTCGGCGGGCAGCCCATCCCCAAGGGCGTCACGCTCATTCTTTCCATGTGGCAGATGAACAGGTCGCCCGAGGTCTGGGGCGACAAAGCCGGCCAATTCTGCCCGGAGCGCTGGATCACGGCCGGCAAGCCAAACACCAACGGCGGCGCCCAGAGCAACTACGAGTTCCTGACCTTTCTGCACGGGCCCCGGAGCTGCATCGGTCAGGGCTTTGCCAAGGCCGAGATGCGCTGTCTGCTGGCGTCCATGATTCGGACCTTTTCCTGGGAGTTGGCGATGGATGAGGCTAAAATTCTTCCGAGAGGTGTCATTACTATCAAGCCGGCGCATGGGCTATATATCAAGTTGAAGCCGCTTAGTGAGTAGAAGTATATGCTCTGGGGTTTCGCTTGTGTCAGCGTTTCATACCACGATAAAAAGTGGGTTTTATGGGGTTCAAACTTGTTATATGGCCTTGATACCCGGAGAAACGGCATTATTAATTAAGAAAAAAAATTAATTTATGTATTTTCTTTAATAATGGTTGCTTCATTACTTTGCTACTGACACGCCACCGCCGATGCCTGCTGCCAATATTTCGGAATCAAGGTCCTGGAAGCCGAGAATGGAGACATTGCCTTCCAATTCTTGAGCCATACTACCCAAACCAATCCAGGCCACTCTTTTTCTCCACCATGATGTTTTCCATTGTCGAAGCTGTACCAAGGTAGCTTAGTAAGATCTGAAGACAGTCTATAAAGACTGGGTCGTTCTCATTTCTAAGCTGCGTAGCTAACTGAGGAATCATTAGCGGGTGTTCTGACTGATATTGATGTAGATTCCCCTTACAGGCTCCGTGACATTATTGTCAAGCACGTTTGTTTTCAAAGTATTGACAGTTGGTTTCTCGTCCTGTTTTTTGCTGACATCCTCCTGATCGGCGACATCCTAATAAACCCCCTCACGTTAGCCATTTGAAGAATATGCCGGGCTACATGATATTGCTTCATGAAAACTGACTTCTCCAATTTGCCCGCCAGCGATGGATGTGCTCTTTAATGCGTTGTGAAAATAAAACGTATGCCGTTCTGAGTAAGGTTTTTCGAGAAGAGCTTTGAACTGAGTATCAATCTCTCCCCTCATCTTGGAAACCGGGCCTTGGTCGTCTGATTCTTCTGCTGATTTGCTTGTGGTAGGTGACAGGTGACTCTCCAAGGATGGAGTGTCAAAGGTCAGCAGATCGCAGTGAATGTCGCGCAATTCTTCCCTCGTGTCAGCCATGATACATGCGTATTGCGCAAGAAGACCCCCGAGGCCGCGGGCAACGAGGATAACGGTGATGCCACTATTGCTGTCCTCTACAATGTTGGCGATCACATCAGTGAGGAGCGCCGCCTGCGTTCCAAAATCGCTCGCGTCTCCAAGCGAGGCGTTGTAATTATATGACCAGAGCCGAGATTGTGGACAATGGTGCCTTGACAGCCACAGCGGCCAAAACGTCCCAGACTCTGAAAATGTCCACGCTGTAGCCGTTTCCTCGTTGAAGTCATGAATAAATATGAAACTGGTGTTTTGTTAATTCTGAGGATAACTACTTGCGATTGCACGAACTTGACTCTCTTTGGTCCACTGCCGGGTGTTATAAGTTGAATACCATGGCCGGCTGTAGAGTTCTCTGAAGCCATTGTTGCGGGGATTCTCGTGTGAGGTACGTAGCATTGGAGGAGGAGCCGAAGCGGGCGGTGAGTAGGAGATAGTACTAAACACAACAAAAGTTTCCGTCTTACTGGTGGCTGAGTGTGGGGGTTTATAAAGACACTCTTGAATATTAGGCACCAATGTCGGCGCTAGCCCGTATTTGTGGCGATTGGCATGGCCGGGGGGTAGCATCGTGCAAAGCCTCCATTGATACCACAGCATGGTTGCGCCAGTGGTAATGGGGATATGGTGAGATGGTGAGATCCCAGGAATCAAAGTGTCCAAAGCCAGCATCCGAATCAACCTCACAGGGACTTGTGCAATCCGGGCGCAGTAATTGCCGGCAAGAGTTTAAATGATTTTCAATTAATATCGAAAGCTTTGAAAACTAAGTCCTAGTTGCGAGAATTGTACAACGACGGGAATGAGATGCGGATTTTTGTGACTTGAGCCCAACATGGCTCTCGGAGCGATGAAATTGCTACGAGACTCGCCGCCATAACTTTCACCTTGTTTGATGGACTTTTGAAGATCTTGGTGCGATATGCTATGAACATTTGGGAATGATGCGTTACATAACATGTCGAACTGCGACCGAGATGACATGTAACACATGGCGTTTTCCAACAAAGTCTGATTTCTGACTTGTTTTATACTCTGCAAATCAACCTCTGTTACAGCCATTCCACTGACACTGTTGAGTTGATCTTGACTGAAGTCCAGGCGGAAACTCAGAGCAAATGGCAAAGTGGTCTCGCTTTGTTCATTTGATGGCTCGAACATCAAAACCGCATATTCAGTTTTGGTATTCTTTCCCAACCCTGGGGGCATGGAAGACTTGCTCATGGAGAACAGGCTGTGTTCCTCGGCCCAGAAGCAAGCCGTGGTGGCGGCTACGTTGCTAATGCGGTGCGTTGGCCCAGTGTCAGGAAACATGATTAGGAATTTGACGTCGTCATGTTGTTGCAATGTGTCCGTAAGGCCTTTGAATGTTTCTTTGAAGTCTATGTCAGGTCGAATGGGGAACCTAGGGTCGTGGAACTTCCAGTTGAAGTCGTGTATAAGAAGGGCTTCGCGCTCTTGAATGGAGTGCTGTTGTCGGGGCAATATGATACCACCACGGGAACTTCGGATCCTGGCGTACTGGTTGTGGCCGTCGGGTCCTTGTAAAGTTAGAGGTAGCCATGTCTGTTGATTGTCTGATGGGCCGCAATTGAGACCAGCAAAGAACAGGTCTTTTTTGTAGGTACGGAGGATGGGTAGATTAATCGAAAGACCAGCATTCGTTGGGAAGTAAGGCATACCGCTCGGCCTCGCAGCCTTGGAACTCAGTGTCGTCGAACGAAAAACGGAAGGACTGGGGGCAAGTAACGGCATTATTTCTGTATTATTCTGTTTGAGAACAGTTATTGGGGGCTCCCACGCAAATATGCTTTCGTCGGCAGAGGTCTGAATAATCTCTTGTTGAAGTCTTCTGAAAGCCTTGGTACCTTCGCCGTATAGCAAGGGCATATTAATGTCGCATAAACCTAACAAGGAATATGCAACGTCCTCCTCACGGGTGGCTTCTCTGCCTGCAGCCCATGAAAGTCTGTGAGAGATGCTGTATTGACTGATAGGAGTCTTGCCTTTGATACAGTCCTCGTCAATGCCAGTGACGACAGATAGAATGGGGCTGAGCGCTTGTTTCCCGGCAATAGGCGTCCAGTCGCGAGCATAAAGGGTAAGGCTTTTCGGTGCAAGCAGTTCTTGGAGCGTCCAGGACCGGGTGAACCATCGACTGTTCTCCAAGGATTGAACGTCGAATGTGTGTGCTTGGCGTGCGTCTGCGTAGTTCAGATAGCCAGACGATCTGGTTGAAGCAGGATCAGTATCATCTTCTCCCAGTTCAGTAGCCGCTCGTTCTTCGGAGATTTCCATATTAAAGTATTTGAGAAGAAATTCGAAGTTTTCCTGTCCTTGCTCAACCTTAAGATGCTGTTCAACTGCTGCCAAACGCTCCACAAAGGCAGCCGAGAATGGTTCCACGTCAACCAAATAGGCGAATGCGTCTGAAGCTTGCTGATACCAAGCGAACATTGAATTTATGGCCTCAGATAGTTCAGAAGAGCTTGCCTTGTCGATACAATTGGTATCGCACCAAAGATATTCGTAGCCTCGATAGGAAGCTATTTCGCAAGCTCTCATGATCTTTTGGTACCCTGCCTTCTGCTGGACGACGGCGTTGGGTTGCCGCCATTCTTGAAGGTTGACCTCGGATGGCCCCCATGTATGCGAAAGTATAGAATACGGAGGGATTTCCAAGCCCTGGAATTCTTTCAACTCGAGAGTGTTCACGTCGATAAGACGAATCTGCCGACAAGTGCTAGCTGAGAGGTAGCGTTTGCTAGGGGCAACTAGTGCGGCTGTCATACGCCAGAGACGTGCCTCGTATCTTCGAACGACGAACATGGCTATTGACGCGTGGTTACGAAGGATCTCAGCTGGAATTCTGATCGTTGGGATTGTTGACTGTTGCGGGGAATAGATACGGAAATGGATGTTCAGCTCCGAGTCACGTGACCATGTTGGCTTGGCTGGTTGCCCAGTCCCCTACATGGGATGAAGTCCTGGCTGAGAAGCTCGGTATTGTCATATCATTTGAACCTGCATCAATCATTTTCCAATGGATTTCATGCTTTCAATTCATTATTACGCGATGGGAGGAAACATGGGACTTGCCATATGATGACACGATATAAGCTGCCATAGAATAAAAGCTCTCCAGAACTCAGATTATAGAAAGAGCGTAGTTATTAGTCTTGATGGTATTTGGCAACATTCGATGTTGTAACCAATCTGGAAAGCAACAATGGATTACCATGTGCCCAGTTTAATACAACTCCAACTGACGTGAAAGGAAAATTGTAAACGAAGAAGCTTTTGAAGATATTCAGTTGATTCTAGGGAACTACAAAAGAGGGGTGATAACAAGCTATCTACTATGCCCGAGTCGGTGATATACAGTGGGTACTATCTACTTCGATACAACATCGATACAATGTCTTACGGCAACCCGTAAAGTCTTCGAAAAGCATGGTTGTCTAGGATTCGTGAGCCATGAGGCAGCGTATGTATGCCTGGGCCCCCTAATGCCAACTGTCCATCGTATTTCCCCATGGCCATCTGCGTCAAAAAAGTCCCCAAAGGCTGGGTGGGGCTATGCGATGAACGCATCACCGTTCGCATAAGCGGTAGAAAAAGAAATCCCATCACCTTGTATGACAGTCCTGGATCTGGTAGATACGGCTTAATGGCGTCGTGATCGGAAGCATCCACTCCAATAGGACGGACAGATTCGACATGAAGTCGATCGCTACATAGCTTTGCCAATTCAACCTCAGCCTCGCCCTTGATTCGACCAAAGAACGGGGTGAAGAAATTGGGATTCTGCGTTGCTCCACCCCCAGACACATATATGAAGCGGAAAGGGCCGTCGTTTCGGGGAAGTTTATCGAATGCCATGGCGGCAGCTACGGGCCATTCTTTGGTGATGTTTACATATTCACTGCCATTGATGACAAAAAGTCAGCGCTATATTCAATTATGTACGCATGTGCAAATTATCTGGATACTCAACTCTTTCGTCACTTGGAGAGCGCTTATCCCTAGAGCCCATACTACACCACTGGCACCTCGCAATTGTTCCAGAACTGCAGTATCATAGGTAGAAAAATCGTGATGCAACATGACTTGCACTCTTGGATCATGGTCTGCAGCGGGGACTGGCCGGCGGCTGAGGATGGAAATTTTGGTGATCTCTTTGGACGCCAGCATGGCATCCAAGACTCCAGAGCCGACAAGGCCTGTTGCTCCTGTAAGAATAAGATGCATCGTGAAGGTGGTCAAAGATTGAATGGAGGACTTGATTATTGCAAAGTCTTTGAAAATTGAAGTACCAGTGCTCACCAGGTTTGGGGCGCCGAGCTCCCTTTTGTTCACCGTCTAAGTTGGTCTTTTGAATTCGCGTCCAAATCTCAAAATAAGATCTGGTAGGCATTATACCCCTGGGTACATAGGTACAGAATCATGGCCCCGTTTGCTTATCCCCCTGCAAGTGCGCTAATGCAAAGCGGTTCCGCCCCACTGATCCACCCATGATTTGAATTGCTTACCCCCCTGTCTGTTACTATTTTCCCAGCACTAGGCCAAATTCGGCTCTGTGGTACCGGGCGGTAATTGGCATCAGTCCGATGCAATCGAGTATGTAGATCGAGGGTTTATACATATTAGAACTTGAAAATGCCTCTAGATTATGTTCACCATCTACTATCACTCGCATTGGATTATGTTCAATTTGTGTTCATCGAGACTCGAAATGCCCTGCTCAACCGCCGCTCTCGACATACCCGACCTAAGTGGCCAGGTCATTATTGTCACTGGAGGCACCGCCGGACTTGGCCTCGAATCAATTCGTCAATTGTCCACGCATCATGCAGCACACATCTACCTAGCTGCACGGTCTCAAGACAAAGCAGATACCGTCATTCGAGAGCTGCGCAATTCCATCCCCAAGGCCTGCCCCATCACATTTCTTCCACTGGACCTGTCATCCTTTGCGAGCATCAAAGCGGCCGCCGCAACCTTTCTCCAATCAGAAAGTCGACTTGACATCCTCATGAACAATGCTGGAATCATGATGACACCAGAGGGCTTGACCGAGGACGGCTACGAACTCCAGTTCGGTACCAATGTCATGGGCCCAGCTCTATTCACCCTACTTCTCCTCCCTCTACTGCAGCAAACCGCCAAGTTGAACCCACAAACCCGCGTCGTCAACCTCTCCTCAGCATCCGAAAAGGCAGCTCCAAGCGACCTGTATCCGCTTGAGGAACTCAAAACGCCAATGTCTAGTCGCCACACAACGGCGAGATATACTCTGTCCAAGATAGCTTGTATTCACTACACCACGGTCCTTGCTACTCTATACAAGGAATTCAAGTTCATTAGCGTCCATCCGGGCATGGTGGCCACAAGTCTTCACCACAATTCTACGGGCATCTTCCTCAAGCCTTTTCTCAATGCAGCCATATTCTTTGCTACGCCCGTAGAAAAGGGAGCTCGTTCCCAGTTGTGGGCTGCAGTCTCGCCAGACGCACATTCCGGAGAATATTACGGCCCTGTGGGCGCTGTAGAGCCAGGATCCAAGAATGCTAGAAGACCGGAATTGAGAGATCAGTTGTGGCATTGGATGAAGCAGGAATTGAGCCGTCATGTGGTGATGTGATTGGTCCTAGCGGCATTAGTTCTCGATGAGCAGTGTCTGGTGCTGGGCCATCATGGTTACTAACAGCCAAGACAAAATTAAGAATTTGGCTCATTACACAAATTGGCTGTTCGCGACAGAACGAGCTCTACTATATGTCAAATGTATATATATCACAAGCAGAATGTCCCATCCTAGCAAGTTCTCTTGTGAGAGCGGTCAAGTACCACATGGGTTAGACTAAATCGAGTCAGTGCACCGCCGACCATAATCCCGACGGTGGGGCTGCTTGACTTGCCAGTGCGAGGCTTAAAATACCCTGGAATTCCACTAACCTGGTAGCAAATGTAATCCGTTCAAGTCTCGATTCCCCACGACGACAAATGCTGGCAGAACCACCCACATTTCAACATCCAATGGCATCAAACATTACCAGTGCAACATCAAATTTGACACAATCCGATTCTATTCCATCAGAGGTGTGGGATACGAGCGACGATCTAGCGACAATCGTAGATTCTGCGGAGAGAAGAAGAGTGCAGAATCGTCTCCACCAGAGGCTGTACCGTACGTTGGGTTCTTATATAAACAGGAGTCCTCCGTGATACTGACCAAGTACAGGTAGAAGAAGGCACCTCAGGCGGATTGAGTCGGTGCAAGCTGCCAGAGCAAACAACGTGCCAGCATCGGCATTCCCTCGCCATGATGAGAACCACTTGAGCAGCCTCGAGTCGGATTACGTCCTATCTCAGCTTTTCAATCTGCCCTTGGTCCACGCTATTCGGGAGCCGCGGCTACGCCAGGCCACCATGACGGCACTGCAAGCGGCGTTGGCAAGATGGTCTCTCAACGCGCCGCACTTGAACGACCTCCCGACAATTGCGCGCCTCAATGTGTTTGATGCCCTGGTTCGCAACTCCATGGTATTACAAATCCCGGCCGAGTTTCTCGAGTCGGATGATGGCGTCTCACTCTTCAACGTGCACCAACCATACTCATCGGGTCCGTCGCCCATTTACCCCAACGACCTAGCGCCAACGTCTTTGCAAATGACCGTCCCACATCACCCATGGGTAGATCTTCTTCCCATCCCAGCACTGAGAGACAATATTCTTCGCTGCGTCGAGACTGGGGACTACGACGAAGATTTCCTATGCAATGGTATATGTTGCGACATGCTCACGACTGACTGGACTGGGACAGGACAGCTCATCATCTGGGGAGAGCCGTGGAACGCAAACAATTGGGAATTCAGTGAAGAGTTCTTTAGAAATTGGGCTTTCCTACTGAATGGATGTATGGAGACGCTAGAAACCACAAATTATTGGCGACAGAAGCGTGGCGAAATGAGGCTAGATTTTATTCTGAATCCATAACAAATTTTATTCCAATACAAAGTGAGCTTTTGGCAGGCACAATATAATTGCTAATTAGTGGCTAATATCATCAAATTCTAGGTAGATATGCCATACCTGTTAACTTCAAATTCTTCTTATTAAGTTTTAAATTGCTTAGGAACACTGTTACCTAGGTAGTACTGGGGAAAAAACCAAAACTGTCTTTGTCAGTGCCAAAAAAGTGGCAGCGGCCCTTTTTGTTTACCCATGCTAGCGCAGCCCTATTCATACTTGACTGAAAGATGAAGTAGAAATTGTCCCAGGAGCGTCGGCTCTACTATAGTCGTCATGATACGATAATCTATCAGCAGATTGTGGAGCTGAAACCCTCTCATCGATGCGCGTTGTAGTGTCCCTTGGTAAACCGTCTTCCCGAGGTGCTACTTCTCCATCTGGTGTCTGTCTTCCAGTGCGCCCGTCGATTATTGTCTGCTCGTCACTCTGGGCATCTTCCTCGCCATTCAATGCCGGATCTCCTGACAATGTGTTGTCGCCGCTTCCAGCCTGATACTCAGTCTTGGAGCTTGGTTTTGCAATGACGGGATGGTCCGTAGAAACGTCCAACTCGCCCAAGAACTCGTCCTTTTCCGTAATAGGGACGAATTCGGTACCCCTTGACCATGTGCCATGTCCCAATGGCTCATGCACGAGACGATGGAGCTGTAGTTGCTGGTTCGTTGTCCACTCTAGTTGGCGATATCTCTGGTATCCATACTTCTTGTAGAAAAGGCTCAAGATAGGCTCAATGATTACCGAGATAAGGATAATCAGCCCCCCAGTGACATAGGTGAAGCATAAACCAAATGCACTGAAGGAAGTGTAACTTGAACTCCGGATTTTCTGCAGTCATTAGTCAGAGAACCATCGTAATATGGGTAGGTCGGATCTCACCTGGCTGTTGCAAAATTCTTCTTGTATACTACCGTCGGGCAAGAACCGAAAATCGTCCAGCGCTGCGTCGCTAGGACCGATCGCGGTCGAGGTATATGTCGCTTATAGGAGAGACAGTATGGTATCGAACCAGTGCGCCACATCGCTTTGCCATTGATTCGAAGGCAACCCGTATTGGGTGCCGCCGTATAGCTGGGACTGTGATATGAGACTGCTTGCCCCCATCTTCGTGATGATATTGTTGAGTGTCACAGGTTCGAAAGTCCACATCATAAAGATCCAAGTAAGACGAGCTGCTGCTCGATTTTCTGGTGGTATAGTACCGGTTTCCCAGTAGTGCAACCATTCTTGGCTCGTGAAATTAAAAAATGGCGCAGCGCCAGCCATTGCATCGTAGAAGCTTGCCAACGGCCCACAACCAGAATTATTGGGCAGTGCCAAATTGCAGATTTGATATTGTTCAACGCAGCCAAGCGGAGATGCTGCTTCATCTGGCATATATGACTGTGCTTGTCCATAAGCGCCTTTAGTGGCTTTGGAGACACCAGGAACAGATGCGCGATACCATATGTCTTCGGTGGGCTGATTATAAACGATACCATCTCCAGAAAGAAAAGCCAGTGTGACGTCGCCATCTGGACGCTGCAAACCGGGTAGTGGAATCCACCCATGGTGGTTGTTATTGAAGGAAGGTTGGCCGTTGATAGTAGCTGAGGATTGACACCTGAAAGTTATGTCAGCTGGAGTACGGCGATAGTGCTCGAAAAGTGGGTTTTGCATACCGAAGTCTATGGTTGAAGCCGGACCAGGAATTAGGATCTCTCGATCGCGAATATTGCGATTCTAGATCATTTGTCTCCAAAGTGTAGTTAACCATTGTCTGGTTTTCAAGGGACCCCATTCTAAGCTGTCCATAGTTGTACTGAACAAAATTGCCATTGGAGGTATTTCTCTGGGTCGCATATCCGTCCGTTACTATCGGTGCACAAGAAAGCACAGATCTGTAGGAAGACCTTTCTCCCTCTGGCGCGTTCAGTCCTAAAACGTCATTAGTGTTGATAGGTCCCGTATCCAGCATTATGTTTGAATCATTTGACCGGCAAAGGCCGTTTTCGAATGGACACGAGGTATTTGTCATTGTAAGTTTCGGGATTTTGTCTCTGACGAAACGCGAGCATCCAAGAACTCCGGAACTGTTAGACGAGTAACATTGTTGAGCATAATTCGCAGCGCTGTTCAACTGTTCCGAGATGAACATGAGGCTTGGCCCAATCAATGAAGCATTGGTTGGAGCACCAATGAAGCCGCAGTTGGAGCTATCAATTAAGACAACATCTTCAACCGCAGAAGAAATTACAGATGAAAAGCCACCGGCGACGGTAAATGCCGCTGCGATCGTGGCAGCGAGACAGGAGAGAAAGAGCAGGTGAAGCAGTCGACGGGGACCCAAGTGACGCCACGCCCAGGAAAGACGCACAAGCGAGATCAATCCGCTCTCGGCGCTGGAGGAGTTGCGTAGAATGACCTGACGCTGGCCGTGAAGAGCGTTTCTAGGATCTTGAGAAGAACAGCATCTGTGGATAGCTAGGCAGAGAATCCTCCAGAAACAGGTAGCCACAAAAGCGACGAAAGATGCGGTAAATGCGATAAGAAGATTGCCGTTCGAACGAGACATGGTGAGTGTTCGACCGAGGACAGGTCCATTCGACCAATCTGTCCAGAGGCCAGTGTGGACATGCTGGTCAATGCTATCACGGATGATATTTGCCGACATTATTTTCACTAAAAAGTCTAATTGAAAGAAAGGTGGTTGGTATCGGAGTTGGCAAGACCATTTTGTCAATTATGAAATATCGGCGACCCAATCTATTTATTCGCGTCTCTCGTTGCAAAACATTGCTTTTCGCCATCTTCGTCTGCAGCTACAGCATCCCGCGTTGCCAATGTTTCAACAGAATCCCTATAAATACATGCGCTGTGGCACATTGTCTGCTCAATATAGATAATGCAGCATAACGCGGGGGCTGACAATACAAGGCGAGAACTTGATTGGATTGTTATTTCTAGTGCATTGCAGGAGAAGGGCCCGGCATTCAGCTCATAAATCTGATTGTATTCACCTTCTAATCCGCTGACGCTACTGTACAGCACATTGGGGGCCCCAATTTGATTTGCGGTTCGAGCTATAGGGCACAGAAAGGCCCAAACCTCACAGACCAATCGGCACGGCTCTGGCTAACACAGCTTATGGTCATTGGAGCCGCCCCTCTGAGTATTCAACTCCACCGAACCTTGAGCAGCAAGCGATAAAAAGTTTGGGCTTACGTTTATAGTGGCAGCTGAATGAAGCTAGCGAATACAATAAGACTACAGCCTGATGGAGAGTACATGTATCATTCTTGCAAGTGTGGATGTCTCAGGCATGAGGAAAATCTTTTATTCGGTATGTTCGTGGCACAGATGCCTACTCTCCGGCGGGGGCTGCCATTCCATATTCCACTGTATTGGTTTCTTGCCTATCCCACCCGTCTGCAGCTGCAGACGAAACAGGGATTCTCAGGATCGCTACGCAGATTTGGACACAAGACCAAGTGTTTAATTTTAAGCTTAGTTCGATGAACCCCTCCCCTCTACCAAGCACGTCTCTTTACCGTAGCATAGAATGAGCTATGCTGTTATGGCTCCTGCCTGCCGTGTTATTGTGAATTTTCATACGTATATCCCGATCAGAGAAACAACGTTTTGCGCCTAGTAATCATATCTTCTGCGTTAATATTCAAATTCATTTTCTGCTACTCATTCAGGGATGCTTGAGCTTAATAATGAGCAGGCGCATATGCAATTGCTATGCTCTATACACCAAGAAATAGTTATGAGCATATAGCTGACAACTCACGGTGGAACTTGACTTCCATATGGCGCAACATTACCCGCTGCAAAACCATCCAACACCAAATTTCCTGGGGTCTCGCTTGATGCATAAAATTTCCGGCTCCTTCACCACAATCATAACTTATGACACCACGAACTAACAATGCTCGCGGGCAGAAGAGCCTGTTGCACTGCCATTACTTGCTGCTGATCCTAAAAGCAATAAAAGATGTCCAAGGGGGACACGTCTCCTAAAAGGCGCATTGCTATGCAATCGCCAACCATGTGATTGTTTGCACCTTAACATACCACTAAGACTTGGGTACTTCCAGTCGCGCAAGTCGTCACAGTTGGAACCAGATTATTGGACTATAGGCGTATCGTACAGTTGAGACTGTCCCAGCTATAGATTGCTATGTGGTCTTCGCTTGCCAAGCTGGCCAGTGAAAGCCTGAACGCGAACCCGAAACCGAGGTGGCATCTGCGCCACGCATCGCTGTGGAATAAGCCTTGTTTTACTGTCGATCTTGAGCATAAAAACCGTCAATTACAAGGGGAACCTTTCCCAGGGCGGAGTGCGGGGAGAATAACTAGAAGCTTGCGGGCTTGGCAGGGGGCCATAGTGTCTGGTACCTACTAGTTCTGGTCGCCGAATGCCCACTACACACAACAATGCGCCATACAAGCTACTGAGCACCAAATATACTTACCTAAATGGTACCTATGTTCGCTATAATCATCTGCTCAACCAAGATGGATTTGACTGAAATACAAGCTAATTCACCACTGTGAATTTATTCATTTGGCATATTAGAGGCACGAAACATTTGTCGTGTCAATGAAGAAGTAGAATTGATTTTTGCTGGAGGAATCTAGCAATGGGTCAGTTCACAGCACTGCCCATTTTGCTATGAAATGGATTGCACTCTTCAAACTTTGAATGCGGACCAAACCACCAAGCCGAAAGCGAAGGGCGATATTAGGATGATCCCGACCCCTGGACTTGTAGCCTTGAGATAAACAAACTTTCCGACGATCCCGTATAGAGAGTTGACAGATGATCGTAGCTTTCTATTCATATATAAAGGCCATTGATTCTGTCCAAAGTTCTAGGTAACTCGAAATGCGGAACAACATTGCCGCGCAGCAACACAAGATTAATCATGATCAACCTTTCAGTCTTTTACGGGTCACTGTTAGCGCTTGGAGTGCTCGCGGGTGGCGCCGCTGGGCAGGTGCCGGGGTGCCGTAAACTGTCAACGGATACCGACTGGCCAACTTTGCAGCAGTGGCAGGCAGCGATACCCGGTGTCCAGGCAGAAAACAATTCAGACAGCCTTGGACCACTTCCAGACTATCGCATCCGCGCAACCAGCTATTCTGATGTACAGGCAGCGGTGAAATTCGCTGCAGAAAATAACGTTCGAGTTTCCGTCATCACAACCGGACATGACCAGCTTGGCCGTAACATTGCCGGATCTGGACTTCTCATTGACCTATCACTGTTGCAAGGTGCTCGGGCGTCGCCATCTTTCGAGGCGACGGTAGAAGGTGTCAAAAGCCTCTGCGGTAATGAGTCGGTGCAGGCAATTACTGCAACTCCTGGCGTGCAAGCGGCCGTCACATTCAACCCGGCTGTCAATGGCCTCAACCTCAATACGGTTCTCGATGCGTCAGGTCTGTTTCTGGTCGGCGGTACCCATGGTTAGTGGAACTCCAATACCTATTGTTTGTTGGATTGCAAATACTGATAAGTGAAAATAGCTGGAGTGGCTGCTGCTGGCGGCTGGGGTCAAAATGGTGGCTATGGTCCCATGACAGCACAATACGGCCTTGGAGCCGACCAATGGCTCGAGGCCAAGATCGTCACTCCCGACGGTGAGCTCAAGGTCGCCAACGAGGTTTCCAACCCAGAGCTCTTTTGGGCGATCAGAGGTGGAGGTGGAAGTACGTTTGGTGTCATCGTCGAGGCCACTTGGAAAGTTCATCCCAAGGTTCCCATCCTCAGCTTTCACTGGTACATGAACTCGACCCTGTCTGCCGACGTGATCGACCAAGAAACCGGAGTCACACAAACGAGCGAGGCGATTGCTTATTTGCTTTCACAACTTCCAGAGGTTCACGACAGAGGCAATATTTCTGCTTATTTCTTCGTGCAAGGTGATAACATCCGGTGCCATGCGATCCATGCTGGTCCACGAGCCAATGCTACCGAAGCCAACTCCATCTGGGGTCCCATTCTTACAAAAATGCAGTCATTCCCAGGAATGACACCATTTCAAAGCAAACACTTTCTGTACGACGGATACAAAAACTTCTTCAACACTACCTATGGACCCGCAGAGAATGTCGGTGCGCCTACGAGCCATGGAATTGTTCCCTACGATAGTCATCTTTTGAGCGCAGCTCACTTGACAAGCCCCAACCTGACCTACGCACTTCGGGGAACAGCAGGAAGCATGGGTATCTTGATGACTACTCCTGGCACCACTCGCGGTGATGGAAGCGAAACCGCAGCCAACCCCGGATGGAGGAATGCCACACTCTTTCTGGTAGGGTGGAAGACAAATACCACTAATGTTGATGGGCTCAGAGAATTTGCCCCAGGCATGGGAACGTACATCAATGAGGTTTGAAGCGCGTAAATACCCGAGTTTTATCTCAAATTTACTAACGAAGACACAGGCCAGTACAGATGAGCCCAACTGGAGCAGCCACTTTTGGGGCTCGAATTACCCAAGGCTGTCGGCACTCAAATCAGAGCTTGATCCCAACATGGTGTTCTGGATCAGCCCAGGTATCAATGCTGATCACATGCAGGTTGTTGACGGCAGACCTTGCATGGTCCAACCATCTCCATTGGAGCCATCATTGTATGCACCGCACACCGAAAGACACGTCGACGCGGATCTTGCCAACGATCGGGAATTTGTTTTCGGATCCCAAGAGTTGAACGGCGTCCAGTTTCCAGCTCCGGGAGAGTTGATTGGTCTTCAATCATGATGATCTTACTTCAGAGGACTACTCGTGAAAGTGTATGGTGATGCAAGGGCTATAGGCGTCAAGAGTGAATGTGTCAAGTTCTAGGCTATAAACAGACTAGTTCATCAATGAACCTTCTTGGACATATAAAATGAACCACCACAGCCGTGATCCATTTGGGAGCCGAATAAGCTATCGGGGCGACATGACGATATCTCTACAAATCTACACATCAACGCAACGGTCCATGGAGACTTCATTCTCTAGTTGTGATTATATTACCCGCCAAGAAGCAGTGTCACGTCGTGAGTATCTTTGTGGGGCAGTATATCTAAGTTGGGCTGCTTCAAAAGAGTGGTACAGTGAGCTGTCTCAAGTTCGCTGCTAGCTCTAGGCTCATGAAAAGCCCTTGTTGTGTTTCTGTTATTCTCTGCTTCTGGGCCCAGACGGAGGTGAGCAATGTCTTCAGATGGGCCAAATGTCCCATATCAAAGTACTTGATCATTCTCTCCAAGCACCAGTCTACATCATCGGTCATTGCTTCGAGTCCTGGTATGCCGCATTCGCACCCAGCGACAGCTATAGGCCATGCCATTGCGTTGGCCATAGGTACCTGATCAGACTCCCAACACAAAAGCAGCCAACGAACCCCGATAACGATGTCTTCTACCAGTCCACGGGCACCTTCCGCCAATTGAGTAGGCAACAGTACTAATAGATTTGAGCGAAATCCCTTGCGGCGCATGTGAAATAGCATGGTGGCCTTGTGCATCGTTTTCCAGCCCGTGTACAGTGCCTGTCGCTCCATAGGGGTCATGTTGGGAGGTACAGGAGGCATGCGCCACGCTTCTAGAGTTAGTTGAAGCTTCCATGCCAGATCGCGTTCTTGCTCAGACTCTGCTTCCGACGACACAATGTATCTCTGGTCGGCGGGCTTTGAAGAGTCGACACTGCTGCGGTCGGCAGACATGCTTGCCTCGAAGATCAGAGACACCAGTGAAACAGGATAGCCAGTCAGAACCTCGAACGGCAAGAATGAAGAGTCTGGATGACTGCCGTCTGTAGAAACTTGCCCATTTGTGTTTTGCAAATCCCACTTCGTCCATGCATGTAAAGAAGATCTCGTCTTGCCTACGGAGAAGGCTGGAATATCGAGATGAGCCGCGCACATGAGCAGAAAGTTACCAGAGCGTGACGCCTTCATGCCAGTTAGGTCAATGCAGTCAATCAAGCTGACGACACGCGAGGTGTGGTGATGCCAGTCTTCGCTAGGGCCCGCGAAAGAAAGTATCGTCAACAAGAGGACGGTGGAGATTGGGGCTTGGATACGGAGAGGGTCCGCTAGGTCGGCGTCATCGAGAGAAGAGACATAGTGCTGTACCTCGTTCAAGGCCGTATCGTAAGGATTTGGTGCGCCAGCAGCAGCTTGGACGTGGTCAACATCGCGCCGTGACGCCAGAGACAGAAGCGTGTCTAGCATAACAGGATTCCCGGAGCATAGCGGAAGTAGTTCGTCTATCAGAGGTAGACCACTGCTGCTCATGGCCACGAGGGCGCTGCGGCAGATGCGCACAACTATCAACCCTTGTTACTACAGATCGAAAAGTGTGGGGACATTGGGGTCAATTCAGGCCTACAGTGTCGAAAATTTTGATATTGCTTGGGGGATAACAAGGGCTGCCCTTGTCCCGCTTCCATATTGGCAAATTCCGGGCAGAGGCCAGACTTGCATGCAAAAAAGTGTGTAGTCGTAGGGATAATAGTGTTTCCTCTACCGTAATGCTGCCATCTACCAGGTTGAATGGGAAAATGTCCAGACTCACGATGGGCAGGGCGCGACTACCAGGTAGTGTTATTTGTTATGGAGGAATACAGTGTAGCCGGGGCGCTGGTCTTGGTCTCAAGGGGCCCCAGCGCATTCACCATTTAGCGCCCCCGCTCTCCATTGATATAGGCCCTGTATTGCCAGAAATCCTCCGCCGGCGTCTTTTGCTTCTCTGCCCCATCTCTAAACATTGCCTTTCCCCCCTGCAACCTACAATGGCGCGTTCATGTGATACGTGCGCCAGATTGGTGAGTTAACCTCAAGCCTTACCTACTAGTCTTCATCTCTCCACCCGGTTAAACTCATACGATGACCAGAAATACAAATGCAGCCAGGCCAACGGCAGTGGTGCGTGTGGCCGCTGCACTCGGCTCGGCTTGGGCTGTACCTGGAATCGGCCTACGCCTAGGCGGGGAAGACCGCCCAAGCCACAGGATGACGGCACAAACCAAGCGCCGGCAGAGGCTCAGGTGTCGCAAAACAGGACTGCAAGTCATTTACCCAAACTCGACGCCCTTGTGCCGTCGAAAACATCTGACGTGAAATATGTAGATGCGTTCTGCAGCCCTGATAGAGGCTTCTCTCGATTCAAATAGTCCCACTCTTGTTCAACGTGTCTTGTCGCGCTCGCGCGAACTACCCGTGGATGAGTCCCATGCGACACGCTTGATGGAACAGTTGCTTGTAAGCATCAACCATATCGGGCTGCTGAGCTTCTTCCACGATCGATTAGATCAATTGGATAGTCTTCATGACGACATACTCTGTCCGTCGCTAGTGCTGGCTCTGTTGGCCTTTGCCGTGCGGCTTGACAGTGATGGCCGAGACCAAAGTTTACTTGCTGCCGAGGAGAGCTGCATATATGCTCTCTCGGATATCCCGATCCTCACTTGGAAGGATGGTCCTCTTCGCATTGGCGATGCGTATTCACTGGCCATCTTGAGTTCGCTAAGTTACCTTAGTTCGACTGCTTCGGGTATCGCTGAGCGATGGTCCGGGCTGTCCATCGTGATCTTGGATGAGGTGAAAGCAAATGCCAACGCTCATGGAACGCAAGACCAACGCAAAAGTATAGAATAGTAAGTGCATATCGACTCAGCGATGGTCGCAGTTGGTAACCTTCATAGCGTGTCCGTTTTGGTTCAATTGAACAACCTGTGAGTAGTCCAAACACTTCCGCCGGCCTTGGGCATAGTTCTGAGTGGGACAGCATTCGTGGGCTCCTGTATTACAGTCAGCCCGTCACATTGCCTACATTCGAGGCCGATGCGGCGGCATCAACACCGGAAGCCAGTGTGAGCATGCCTGTGCCAAATCTTCCAGGCTCTAGAACCGGATTCCGTGGGCTCTTCTTGCCCTTACTGCCGTGAGTTCTTCCTCTCTCAATACATATTTTCTACTAAGGATATTCAGTATTCTTCGAAACGCCCTTTTACAATCCCCACAGTCACGTGTGAGTCAGAAATCCAGAGATTCAAATCTACGTGCCCTTGAAATGTACTACATCAATTTTCCAGAGAGTCTGATGACCATCTCATCGGTAAATCTGGTATATCAACTTGAAGCAATGATTTGGTTGCATGGAATACATCAATTGCTTTGTGAGTTACAGCATATTTGTACTTGGGTTCGTCTTGCGAGGATCGTTTTACTTGTTAACCTTGTTTCTATGCAGATGGCGCACAGGATCCCATCGACATATTATACAATCAAGCATGGCATAATGCGTCCGACTATGTTGGAGCTATAGAACATGCAATCCTCATGGGTGAAGTGGGTAGTGTCCGTAGTACGATCTCGAGTACATAGATAACTCACCAGTCACTAGATCCTCAAACAGCTCGAGCGAGTCGGTACTGGCTTGATCGGCAGTATATCGCCTGCCACTATCGCATTTATTTCCATCTCGGCTGCCATACTATGCTCCCTCGCAATACAATCCGGGTCATCAACGTCTCACCCCTCCCTACATGGTAGCTTACAGTCATACGCTTCTATAATTGGGATGTTCACAAATTCAGATTGGACCCATGGACATCATTTCTTTGATGGAATCCGGGAGTTAACAGGTGCCGTCCTGAATGGACTTGAGACTCCCGGCCTGACCCTGGTGGTTGAAAAGCTGAAATACTACCGGTGGGTGAACGGTGGCACTGGCCTTCGGAGGCTCGGCGACGAATCGAGTCAAATACTTTACACAAAATCGACGAACTTGCAAAATCAGCTTTCGGCTGATCCAGCAATCATCCACAAATGTCTCGAGTTATTCGACCAACAGCGTCTTACGCCTGCAGGAACTTTTGAGCTTAGCCTTAGACTACAGTGGTAAGCAGACGTGTAAGAGGAATTGAATACCAATTGGACGGCGAGATCAAAGAATCCTTTCACCGGGGGCCGTCGGCCAAATTGATTATTCATTATTAAAGAGAATCACATGTTCCAAAGAAGCAGAAAGCCCAGTTGTAGAGATCATGGTGTAATTTCCAGTATCCATTGAGCCACAATTTCGCCTACCCTATCGACCAGATCTCCATAATGAGGACCTGGCATGAATAACATTGTATGAGCACTGATCTCATCAGTCGTCGCCATGGTCACACGTTTCCATAGCCTATCAATCTGCCCGTCCTCCTCTCGTGCTAGTTTACAAAACAGCAGTTCTTTCCGAGGAGTCTCTGGCATGGGAGAACAACTATTTTCAGGCATCCCGTCGTTCTGTTCGGTAACTCCATAGTGTGGAATGTGGGAGATGTCGGTGCTGCCCGTCTGCCTGGAAGCTTTGGAATGAATTGAAAAGTTGTCCGCGGCGGAAGTACTAGGCGCCCGCCCTTTGTGACAGACTGTGTAGAACTGAATGAAACGGCACCTCTCAGAGTCTGTTGATGGCTGCAGTGATTCATTTATAACACCACTAGGCCCTGCATCCTCTAGCTTTCGCAGCTGCTTGTACCGGAGCCTTAGCCTTTGGGAATCTAGCAGACAGCTTCCGAATTCGAAATGTGCTTTTAGGTGGCGAAAACCTGCATGTAATAGTCCCTCTGCTCGGTGCTTCTTGACAAAGTGCTCAATATTCTTCCACCATCCGCGGTCCATTATCCGCAGGTCGTTGGAAAAGTGAGGATTGTAGTTGGGATCCAGTGTGCTGCTGCCTTTCAAGTAAAAATTGCGCAGTGATGAGGTGGACCTCTGCTGTGTCAAGGATGCTGTAGGGCTACCTTCTGGGGACTGGGGCTTGAATATCTGGCTTGTTGACTGATGAAGTCTTATGACATCTGACATGTCGCCTGGTCTGGGTTTTGGCCGGAATGGGCTCAAGATGCCCGTTAGTATGACACTATTTTGCACACCATAAAACGGAACATCCATGTTGACCGTTCCGAGAATTCGGTGCTTGCGGCAGTATCCGCCGTCGGGAGACGGCTTCTTCTGTTACCAAGAGTTAGACTTGATATAACTTGGCTTAGTTTGGGGCACAGGGACGTACCATGAGCACCACGTCTGCTGCCAAGAGTCCCCCCATCGAATGACCGACAAGGACAACGTCGGTGGAGGGGGACTCATGGAGAGCTAGCCACTCACTAAAGTTGTCCCTGGCAAGATGGAACGCCTTGTAAGTCTTGTATCTGGGGTAGATCTTGGAGTGGATCGCATGTGTGGACGCCAGCTTTTGTCTGAGATATCTGTGCACATGAACAGGAAAGGAGTGGAACGAATCGTCATTCCCGATGAAGCCGTGTATGTAGATGATAAGGAGCCTTCGCCGTGGGCCTTGCCTCGTGTCAATTATAGAGGGTGTCAACGACTGGGTGGACGAGAGTCTCGGATCCATTGCCAGCATATTCGAGACGTCGGCATCTAGTCCCTGGTGTCCAAGTTTTTGGGGGACGTCAAGGGAACTACCAGTGTATGGCTCCTTCGGAGTATCCATATTCGCGATCTTCGCTGGTTTGAGAGATGACATATTTCGTCTCACATACACGGGTAAAAGACAGAGGGAAAAGAGTAAGAGAAAATATATGGTTACAGTCAAGCGAGCAGCTGGTGATCAGTACGAAACTGCGAGACTAGTTACTTACACTCCTGGAGGCTACTCCACGTGGTCGTTACCGGCCCACTGAGCCAAAAGTACAAATTTATCTCTTTGAACACCAGCTATAACCCACACTATAAACATTTCCTTGACAGGATTCGTCCTCAAGGGATGTGGGGTGTAGTCTGAGTCCCCACTGACGCAGCAAGTAACGCGAATAACCCGAGCAATACGACCAGGGTCAAAATGCGGTTAGCTCGAGTGTCAGGAGCAACGCGAATAACGCGAGTGACGCAAGAATAGGTACATAGCTTGTTGTACTGCGGCGACCCCGTTGGGCGCAGCGGCAGGTTACCCTAAGCTCACAGCACAGCAGGGGGCTAGCCACTACCAAATGGTCTTTCTATGCGCGTAGCTTGTGGCAGTGCTAGTGAGCCGGCTTGTACAATAAACAAAACCGCAAAATGTCATAATCTAGGTAGACTTAAGGCAATTCGAAATGGTGCATACCTACATATTCAACTAAATGGGCTCCGGTTGCGAAACGCCACAAATTTGAAACGGGGTTATTGACTTCTCATTTGGATGCCGGTGGGATGTCCTGTATGCTTGGCTACGTAAGGTAGGAAGGGGATGGAACCCTTTGCTCTACAAAGAGCAGTTCTTTGGCACATCATTTAACATGGTCTTGCGAACCTTTCTCAAGAATATCATACCTGTTTTTTCTATTCAGTCGATGCTTCTCACCTCTTCATAGCTTGTTTCATTGTTCTCTAGCTCCTTTCAACACCCCATTCTCCGAGTCCTTGCGTCAGGTCGGCAGTCCAGTCTTTCGTGGTTTATCGGTATCAGCCGAACATGGCTGCGGTTGTCATTGCTATCATGTACTTTGGGATATCTACGCTTTTCCAACTCAAAGTTGATTCCATTCATAATTGGATGTCTCTGTGAATGCGTAGACAAGTCGTACCTATACGAAACAGTAACGATTGCTGCCCCATTGGCTTCCCATTGCCTGGCCAAATTTCACCTCTCGTCTGGCGCTTGAAATATTAACTAACGTGGTGTAGTTGAAATTGTTGGATATGTCCGCCAAGCCCGCAATGTCATCCAATAAGTACCCCGACTTTACAGAAAACCCGCACATCATTCAGTCCATTCTACTCAAAAGGCCTAATCTCATTTACTCTCAAAGCCAGTTACCTAGATTAACTGCCAGCAAGTCAGCACACCACTGGGCTAAATGGAATGGAGATTAAAACGGGGTTGTTCTCACCATGGATCGCTTTCACCTGTGTATACGCGGATAACGCATACTCGCCCGATTCTGTACCAATGCCACTTTGTTTATGGCCACCGAAAGGGATACCGAAATGTGAATCCTGAGAGCTGTTGACCTAAAGTACGTGTAAGCATTGCCATTAGGCCTATTGTAGGGATGAGCCACTTACCCAGACAGTACCAGCTTCGATCCCGTCGGCAATAGTATGCGCCCGCACGAGGTCTCTGGTGAAAATCGAAGCCCCCAGGCCAAACTCGGATCCGTTGACTTTGGCCACTGCGTCGTCTGCATCTGTAAATGCCTGGATAACGACAAAGGGCCCACATACCTCTTCTTGTACAATATTCATGTTACTATGAACATTCGAGAAGATGGTTAGTTCCATGAAAAACCCCTTCTCGGACATTGCGCTGCCGCCTTGGACCAGCTTTGCTCCCTCAGCTTTGCCTGCCTCGACGTAGGCTAATATTCTTTCCAGTTGGGCTTTAGAAACCTGTGGGCCATGCGTCACGTTCTCATCAAATTGACTTCCAATGGTAGTATAGGCTTTGGTGTATTCCTTGAAGCGGCTTAAAAAGGTATCGTGTATAGATTCCTGGACATAGATTCTTGATGTCGCGGTACAAGTTTGGCCCATATTGCCTATCTCTAATTCAGTACCGAATGTAACTGGGGAACTTTGGAGCGTTGGTTACCCATAATGCCTGCATGGGACCATTTGATCGCCTGATCAATATCAGCGTCATCAAAGACAAGTAGCGGGCTTTTGCCACCGGTCTCGAGGGTGATGTTCTTGAGCGAACCAGCAGCTGCTCTCATGATAGTACGTCCAGTAATTGTACTGCCAGTGCATGCAATCTTGTCAATGTTGGGATGGTTGGCAAGCGCCTCGCCTGCGACCCTACTAAGTCCATTGATAATGTTCACCACTCCAGGTGGAAATCCTGCCTCTTTTATAAGAGCGGCCAGATACAGTGCCGATAATGGTGTCTGTTCTGAAGCCTTCAACACGGTTGTGTTACCGCAGGCAAGGGCAGAGCCAAGTTTCCATGCGGCCATCTTCAATCAGACATGAATTATTAAAGGGGGGTTCTTTTCTCATTGGGCACAAATTACCGACCATGACAGGGAAATTCCACGGAATTTTCTGGCCGCACACGCCTAAGACTTCAATCAGTGTTGCTGTGAACAATCAATAATTGGCATTGCTTTAGCTATAGGCTCATGCTTGGTATAGGCGAGCTTGTCCTTGTTGGTTTCGATTGTTCGACCAAATATCTTGTCAGCCCAGCCAGCGTAATAGCGAAACACACTGACCACCTCCGGGCCGTCCTCGGTTATGGCGGCCTGGTAAGTCTTGCCATTGTCCCAAGCATCAATTGTGGCAAGGATGTGGCTGTCTCTTTGGCACAACTCACTCAGCTTCCAAAGCAAGGCACCACGATCCGCGCCAGAGATGCGGCGCCAGCTATTGGCTTTCAATGCCCGTCGAGCGGCTTGCACGGCCGCATCCACGTCCTCGGGCCCAGCTGCTGCTACACCGACAATGGCAGACTCATCATACGGGTTGGTCGGCTCAATTGTTGCGCCTGATTTAGCTGGCACAAATTCATTATTAATGAATAATCCTAAGATGAGCTATAGTTTAGTTAGATATGCGTGAAATGAAAAGGGCCAGGTCTTATGGTAGTACCAGTTGGTTGCAAATATGTTGCATTATTTGGCGCTGTAAGTTGAGCAAATTAAGTCATTGCAAGATGGCTTAGAAAGGATACGCAACGTCTAACATATGCTGTGAAAATGAACTTCAAGTTGCTGTTGAAAACTTGATTTAAAAGACCTGAAGACGGCTATTGCTCAGTTGAGAGATGTGTTAATGTAAGAGCTAATCTACTTATTTGTCCAGGTCTAGAAAAAAAATAAACCCTGCTGGCCGAAGCTATTCTGATTATCGGTCAGTCTTAATCAAACGAACTGCTAGTTACCTACCTACATAACTTGCTGTTAATGATTTTTCTGTTCAAGGATCGGTGCCTCAATTCCTTCCGTTTTAGGTTGAGCGCACCCGTAGCGGGTTTACGAGATTCCACTAGCATGACATAGCTCTGATCCATGAACTCTCCATGCTTGTGATGTCCATCTTTATTACAACATTTTATAGAATCCACTGTCATCGCCGGCAAACTTTTATTCACAAAAAACGTACGGTGCGGAAAGTGGGTGAAACGGAAGGCGAATGATGGGAGGGCGACATTGGAATCATGGTGCACGGTTAGTAAAGCATGGCCCAGACTAAGACGCCGAAGAGTCATAACAAGAAAATTGAAACATTTCACAATGGTTGAATTCCAGAGTCGTGCCCAAAAACTTGCCAAATTGGGTCAAGGTCGATAGCTGTCGTCCTATCTCTTTGCTCAAAGCATCAGAAAAGGGGTGGGGGCGGGGGCGGGGCGGGGCCCGCTATGAGTAAAAGTCGAGACGGCGGTTGTTAACACGAGTAGCATCGCAGTTGGAATAGGTGCAGCTCGCTGCCGATTGAGCAGAGCTCACTTCACCTCACGATCATCCTTATAAAGATATATCTCACTGGGCAAGGCATCAGATCAATGTCCTATCTATTGAATGCTTCAGCTCTCAAAAGTGCACCCGTCGTCGAGTTTAACTATCTAGATCTTCCATTGACTTATTCCCAAGTTTCTACGTCCTCCAGTCCTTGAATTCATCCTGCAAAATGAGCCTGATTCAAGAGCAGAAGAAGTTGCGAATCGCCGTTGTGGGCGTTGGCATGGCAGGTGTTGCTGCAGGCTTGGATCTCCGAGAGTAAGTAAAAAGGAACCCCTGTCATGCAACGGGATCTCAATGGAAGGGCTAACTCGAAGCAGCCTACCAAACGTTGATGTACAGCTGTACGAGCGTTCCACCGAACACAGGCTTGCTGGCGCGTATGTATTCCACCGTCCACAAGACTCAGAACTCATCCTGAATTACTTATAGCTGGCTCGGTGTCACGCCCTCGGCATTGCGACGGCTCGTTGAATGGGTCGATGAGGAAGCCGTGGACCGGGTAATGACCCGGAGATACAATCCCTTCACGGCCTTGCATTGGAGTACTGGAGAGGTTCTCCATAAGCCTCAGCAAGTCGATGGAGCAAAGCTCTCAAAGGCTGAGAGGCTTGACCAGATGGGAGTGTCCAATGCCATACGTTCCGAACTGCACCAGTTGACTGTGGCCCTTCTCCCGCAAGACATGATTCACGCAGGAAAAAAGAGTTTGGGCCTGGAACAAACAAACGGCGCTGTGCGAATCAAGTTCGAGGATGGTACGGATGCTGTCGCTGATCTCGTCATCGCAGCAGATGGAATCAACTCTGTATGTTCACTCGTGAATTCGATCCCGGTAAAAACGAATGTTGACAAGAGACCAGGGCATTCGGAAAGCTTTCGACCCGGATTATACCATCAAGTATCTGTAAGGCTCATGACTTCTTCACCATGTCAACAACTAATTATCGCAGCGGGCATCTTGTTTATACTTGTTTTTGGGATTATGAGAAGCTCAAGCAGGAAATTCCAGACCTACCCGAAGATGACGTTGTCATGTACTGTGGTAACTGTCTCGTTTTTATGGGTTACGTGGTATGTGGAACATCCATGTCGTCTTGAACAACCATTAATTCTATCGTCACAGGGGTATAAGCAGTATGCGCTGGAACTGATAGTTCCCGAAGAAATGCCCGAGACTCAGACTGTGCGTTGGAACACAATTGCTGATGAAGCACGGAGTAGGTCACCCAGACATATGCTGATGCGTATATACTAAAGCTGTCGCAGTGAATCATCTTTTGGAGTACTTCAAAGATTGGAATCCTATCATCAACCAGTTTCTCCGAGTTTCAATGAAGCATGACATCGACATGGTTATATTGCGTACGGAATTCCCTCCCTCATTCCAATCCGTACAGCTCTGAATTGACGATACTTTAGCACGCAGCCGGGGCCAATGGTCGCCATCCATGATTGCTAATCAACAGATAGCGTTTATCGGAGATGCAGCTCATCGTAAGTTATCATGACATTTTCCTCGCACTTGCAAAATGCTAAAACAGAGAAAACACACCAACAGCGACGGCAGGAGCATTCAGTTCTGGTACTTCATTTGCATGGGAAGATTCAAAGACTCTGTCATTGGCTCTCGGTCATGCTTACCAAAAGAGCAAACAGTGGAACACTGAGACGGTTGGCACCGCTTGTGAGTTTTGGTTTTAAACAGTCGTGCATCGAGTTTCCTAACGCAAATAGTGAAACTTTACGACGATATTCTCTCCACTCACTACAAGAAAGTTTATCAGCAAGTCGAGAAGTTTGAGGCAGCCTGGAACAATGATTTGGAGGATATGGCACTCAATTTCAGTGCAGAAAACATCCACTGGATCACAAACCACGACGCGGACGAGGCATTTGCGAAGTGGGTGAAAGAGCATTCGACCGAATGAAAAAGAATCGGGCTCGTTGATCCACGATAACAGCGCTGTAAGGTTTTGGCGGTCCCAACCAAGCAGGCTATCATCAACATAGAAGCAACATTTCTGGCGAGAACTCTTGGGGAAATGTCGCTCGGAGGGCCTGATCGTTGGTAGAATTCCGCATGATCTACATAGATATAGCTTTACTGAATGCATTCCAAAACACCCATCTGTACTCTAATTCTATCTTTTCTTTGACCCTTCCCTGAAGTCTTCTTAACAATAAAATATTCATGTATTACTTCTCATCTCAACCTTAGGATTTTCGTATAGCTAACGCTGCGTCGATATAGACTATGTCTGCAGCAGCTTCGCGGTCAAGCTTTCTACGGCATCGGTCTGGGGAAAGTCATTGGGCCAAAGCACAATAGTTATGTTCGGCTCAACTATGCGATACCACACGTTTGCTGGAGGTTTGATTCGATCCCACAATTTTTGGACCGTGGTCTTGGTTGCTCTGGAAGAAAGCAGCTACATGCATTTGGTCGAGACCAATAGCACAGAACTTTATTTGCCCCCAATACAAACTGTCACCTTTACTAGTCCGCAGCTGGTGGTGCTTTTCAGATTCGAGTAAGTGCAAGCTTCCGACACAATACTTCCACACATGCGCGCGGGGGGCTGGAGCGAAGGGTCGTTGATTACCTCTTCAGGGAAGACGCACGACTCTCTTTACTAGCACATCAGTAATCAAACAGGCACCACGCGACCCTGCTCGACAGGGCCTCCCAACTTTCGCTATCACTATACTGGTCTCCAAGGATAAGTCTCGCCAACCAATCACACTCCCCAGTCTTATCTTCATGCGGCCCTGCATGATTTCTGGTCGTTTACCATGACGCTGATTGTGACTTGGCGTGGCTGTAGAAGTAGGCAGGACCTGTCGGACAGCCACCGGGACCACTCTCCGCGACGGTTCCTGTAAATCCCTGATTGATTTACAAAAGGACTGCAAATTCCATTTGAATTCTCCAATAGTACATTGATCTCAAGGTCGCAAGATTTTTTCGCGACTAGCATTTGATTGATTCATTTCATTTGGCGCTTGATCAGTTTCCGATTTCAGTGCTCGCCATCAAATCCTCAGCACCTCGTCAAGATTCAAGACTAGCAGGAATCTTCTGTCATATCTTGACAATGGCGCCCTCTATTTATCGTTCAAGGCAAGAAGACTCATGAAACCGAACTGGATCAAGAGAGCATTGCGCTCGGAACAAGTCAGGTTGATACTACCATGGACTGCGGCCTACCAGTCGTCAATAATAAAGCGAGCGAGGAGTTTCCTGGGAACCCTCACGTCAGTAGACCCCAAATCCGCTTATTAGTTACCAATACTTTTATCATGCTTACATATGTTTCTCAATCCCCTTCCACTAATGGTTTTTTTTTATTATCTAGGCACTTGACAGTAACGGTCATCTTTATCTCCTTCCAAGGCCAAGCCGGTCTCCCGACGACCCTCTCAACTGGTCTCAAAAGCGAAAGTGGATAATTCTTGCCATCATCTGCTGGTATTATGCTCTTGCTGTTAGTGCAACACAGTTTCTGAGTAAGTCCTACTGCATGCTTTGTACTTGTTTCTTGTTCTTCTTTGTTCGCCCGTATGCTAAATGTAAAATATTTCAGGTTTCATATTACCTCAACTCGTTGAGAGTTACCCCAACGAATCATTTTCCAACATTAACCTACTCTTTACCATAACTTCTCCTCTTGTAGCTCCAGCAGACATTATCTGGTTCCTGTGCGCCTTCAAATGGGGCATGAGGCCCACTGCTGTATTTGCAGTGTTTCTCTTCTTCGTCTCAAACCTGATTGGAGTTATCAACCCTTACCTCTTTGATCAATTTCTTGCAGCCAGGATCATTGCTGGGTTTGGTGTAGCCCCGAGTGATGTCTGTTAGTAACCTTTGTATTGGGAAACGTTGACAGTGGGCTGACTCGATCACAGTGAACTTCATCATGGTGGAAAGCTTCACCTTTATGTAAGCGCTTACGTACTTACTTATACATGCTTCTCGTCTAACATTACTAGCCATGAGCGAGGTTTATACATGGCTATCCTTGCAAGTGGTGGAGGTGTAAGTTGAAATTACGCATTCTTGTTATGGTGCTAAACATTTTCCTGCAGGCACTTAATTCACTGATGTGTATCGCCACAACCTGGAGTAAGGGGATGCACCTATTTCCGCGTGATGATACCACGCTAACATGATTGCATTTAGTCACGATTAATACATCTCTTCGAGGGTATGACTCACATGTATCTACATTGTGAGACAGGTATTGACTTTGGCAAAGCGTCTTCATCTTTTACTCGATATGTTCTTTTGTATCGTTCGCCGCTTTATTATTGTTATTCCCTGAAACAAAGTCAGTTGTTTACAAATCTTAATTCATCCCAAGGCTAATGAAAACTCAGTTTCCGGCGCAATGAATCCGATCTGATAGAACCAATCACGAAAGAAGAATTCCATACATGGCACAAAGCTCTAAGACAGGGCGAGAGCTCAAGGCTTCTCATTAATCCTTTTGCAGGCCACAAAAACATTCCTCAGCACGGTTTTATGGATATTGTCAAATGGCTTTGGCTTGCGGCGCTGAATCCAGCAATGTGGTGGTGAGTCACTGCTATTACACACAGAGTTAAAGAATGTATTAACCTAAAACGGAGACTTTTCCTCAGGTTTGGTGCATTCCAAGTTGTCCTATTTGGAGGGTTCAGCGCGGTTGCGACTTATTTTGCCACAGTAAGTCACAAAAGACATTGATAATAAGTTGATGCGAAAGGGTCAATGAATTAATTCGTGTTCTAGCTATTGGAGTCAGCTCCTTGGAGCTGGGCTCCAGAAAATGTTTCTTTTATAAATTTTGTGGTGATTCCGATGGTAATATACTCTTCAACGTGCCGACGTCACTACTAGCTAATAAACTGTGCAGGCCGTGATAGGTATTCTTATCGGCATATTATCTGACTGGTCGGTGGTGAAATTGGCGAAAATCAGACGCGGATCACCGTGAGCAACTCAGTCATTCCGAGCCGAATTTTCATTTGCTTACAAAAGTTTAGCAAAATAGAGGATCGCTTATTAATGACACCGTTTCCAGCTCTATTCGGTAGGTTGATGAGAGTATGACTTATTTTATTAAATAGCTAATAGTGGCGTGTTTAGGAATTGCCGGGCTTGTTGGCTTCGGGGCTATGGCGCAATCATTCTACGCGGGCAATGCACCACACTGGTTTGCCTGCGTTTTCATTTGTTAGTAACTGTCTCAAATTATACAATTGTTTTCAAAAGCGATGATACTAACCTAGAATTCAGACTTCCTCATGATTACAGCGTTTTGTAGCGGGTTGCAACTTTCTTGTACGCTCAAAGCTGTCTATCTCCGTGGTAAAATTGCTAACAAGTCCAGCCATGTACTTTGCGGGATCAGTGAGCTCTGAGCACGGCCTAGCTATGCTAACCATGCTATGTGCCATTCGAGATCTAGGATCTTTTGGTTTAAGCTGTAAGTGAAATGAAATCACCTTGTGCCGTTAACCAATTCAAGCTGACCATGCGAACTCGGTTAAGATGGTATTGTCGCATTTGTGGATAGTGTCGGGTTTCTGAATAGCTTTGGTATATATGGAGCTGTCTTGGGCGTGTTATCTCTTGGAGCCATCCCGGTCTATGTTTATGGCGAGAGAATCCGACTTTTTCTCAGCACCCGTAAATATGCCCCTCGCGACGAAACAGAAATCTGATAAATGGGCTGGCAACCGAGATTGTGTGTCTATTGCCCCTTCCAGTCGTCGAGGGTTGAGGCCGGGAAATAAATCAGAGCCAAATGTATCGGACAAATGCAAAAATACGTCAATAATGACGCAGTTTGCCTACAGCAAAATGATATTGTTAACATGAGTCTGCTATTCCCAAGTCACCATGACTTATGCAAGAGATGCCCCGAGGTAGCTCCATTATGAGTCCGCACTCTGCCGGTCAAAGAAGTCTATATTCTACCTCACTTCTTTCTCATGGATTGGTCAGTTTTTGGTTGTGATTAAGTTCCCAACCGCAATGAAACTGCTTTGTTTCCGGTGATGAACATCATGGAAGCAAGGCTCGTGCCACTGGGAAAGCCAATATAGCAGCTTCAGACCTAACACACGCTGAAGTGAAATAGTATCTGTACCATCGATTTGTAAAAGGAAGTCATCAATATTTTGTATTTAGAGCATCGAATAAGGATGGAACTACTGTGTTCACCTTGACAATAGCTGAGTGCATTGAAGATGGACGCTTTGTACCACCAGGAGGTCGACTGTAGTACCCCAAATATAGTAACACTGTTGACGAGAAACTGTACATCTGCCCGCCAGGGCCATGTTTGAAACCTTTCCCCCCCAAATGCGAAATGGCATCGACTTTGATAGATTGTATGTACCTGCATGCATACGGCGGCACAAGCAGGAAAGGATTTTCAATCAGGCTCGCCCACCTCGGGCCAAGTCTGGGGTAGACTTTCCGATACGATACCGTAAAGCCTTAACATCTTATTGGAGGCTCTGGGCCTTGGACAGCTTTCATTTAGCATAATTGGCGATAAGCATTCATCGCAAGTGGTGACAATGTCCTTACTTTATTACCCACTCAACCACTAGTTAGGATGGGTATGATTCTTATCGCACTTCCCATGGAATCCTTGCAGTGGATGATATGCAGCGCAGGCAGGCCACACCGGACGAGAGGAGGGTACAGTACGCAGGTGAACTAGCGACTTCAAAGAGAGTTTGAATCTTTGAGTGAAATTTGGCACGCGCACATGATCTGGATCGAATATGGAGTTCCCTGCAAGAAGCTCTCGACCTTTCTGTATGGGGCAAGTTTTGTGGCCCGCTGACCATCACCTCATCAAGGATGTGCTGCGTCCCTGCATGACAACCTAGCGGAGAGGGGGTAACAATTCAAGATCAAAGCCAAGCTAACTTCAAGTGTATAATAGATTGCCACAAGGGGGCGGGCGTGGAAACTTGCCTTATTTGGAGTCAAATGATTTGATGACTGAGAGAAAAGGTAACCAAGCACTTTTATGCTGAACACTCTATTTTAAAAAAAGACTTATTTTGCTTTCAACTATATAGTGCTCACAAATACCAAGCGTTTGATTTTCTCTACGCACCAAACATTCATTTACCACATACCCACTTTGCTATACATCCACATCTCGTCATGACGTCAGTCGAAGACTTACGTGCTCAGAACCACGAAACCGTGGAAAAATATCTTCACCACCTTTGCGACTCTCCGCTCATGGCTTTGAATCTTCTTCATGATGACGCCTGCAAGGAGCTCACATTTGCGACCTTTCCGATGTCATTCAAACCGGACAATGTGCACCCTATCAGTTACCATGGCAAAGAGATTCTTAGAGAGAACTTTGAGTTCAATAACAAGTGCTTCAAGGGGGATTTAAAGAATAGGAAGGTGTATTCCACACAAGACCCGAACAAATTCTTCCTTGAAGCCGAATTGGATGGCACGTATATACTTGATGACAAGGTCTGGCCTTATATACAGCCTTATTACATCATGGTGATTGAGTTGAGAGATGGTTTAATTATGCGTCTTCGAGAAGTGTTTAACCCACTTCAACTCCTCAAGACAGCTGGTACAAGCAACCCGGACGCCCTCCTCGAGCGTCATCGACCCATTTCGCAGTAAGATTTCAGATATAGTCATCAAGGGAAGCAATGGGACCATTCAGTGGATGCTAGCAGCAGGCAGAAGGGTGTTAAGAGCGAAAGCACAAGTATATTATTTATGGAAGGATGATTAAAGAATTTATTGGTAATGATTGACTTTTTACCAATACGATGACATGGACGTTGTACTAGCGTTTTGAAAGATTTCTTATCCTCGTTTATGTAGTGTGGTGGTTCATGAGGCACATTTTCTGTTTTTGCGGTAAATCCAGAGTGCGATGCGCCACCGCCGCTCAGAGGCTATCCGGAACTCACCAAACGTCCAACGTCAATGTGACATAGTATCTTCCGGTACTCGCTACGGTGCAGTACGGCTTTGGCAGATCCTTAGCACTTGCTGGGGAGACCGGACAAGAAACCTCCACACCAGCCGGTACTGGCTAGCACAAGACAGACAGAGAATGCCATTAATCGCTGGATCCAAGTATGGGGCGTTGTACCTGTCCAGACTTTATCATGCCGGCCGCGCTGTACTAACCTTAGGTATTAACATCACCCTGTTTCTAATGGATCCATGCCAGATATAGACCAAGCCAGGGTCTTGCAAATGCAATCCATAGACCACTCACGATGGGCATCGGCTTGCCTGGAACCTCTTGGAATTGGCGAACCCTTCCCAACTAGGTAGTTGCAGCCGGCACCTCTTGAAGAATCTTGAAGCACCGGCCGCTGTCGCCCCCAACGGAGTCCATGGTCTACTGTCTAGGGCGATCAATTGCTGTCTGTCCTGGATAAGAGCTACTGTACAGGCACACATATCGGTTTTTGCCCCCGAGTAATACCCCAGCTCTCTCTCTTTCAGGCAAAGAATAGGTCCCCTTTCATACTCCATCTGCTTCCGCCAAGTGCTCCATACCCAAAAATTGCTTATACATTTATATGGCTGGTGCTTCTTTTTGTGGTATTTAGGTGGTGTTCTTCCTCGAGGACTATTTCCTGCCCATACTTTGCAATTATTATTAAGTTCACAGACCTCAGTTGCTAACATTCTCTGATCGATTGACTTGCACCCCAGCTGTCCATAATGGTCCCTGCTCTCAAGTATATACCCAATGCCCAGGAGGCAAGAATTCCTTACTACAAGGACTTTCCAAATATTTTCCTTGGTGCGCTTTATTCGAGGTAATTTGAAGCACCCTTCTTTACTCATAAAGTCTGGCTCGTTACATCCTGAACATATGCTTACAACTTACAGTACCCAAGATGACCCGGAGAAACCTATTACTAGTGGTTTCTACCGCATCGAAAAGGGCGCAACCATGACCGCCACGTATACATACTACGAGTTTAAGCTCGTTGTTGCTGGCGATATTATTGTCTCGGATTCAACGGGACAAAAAGTGAAGGCTGTTAAGGGTGACATCATCTATTTCCCCAAAGGCGCAACGAGTGAGTCCACAATATACTGGGCTCCATCCTGGCCGAGTTGTCAAATACCGGCGGCGATACTAACGTGGATATCTCTAGTTACTTTTGAAACTGAGAACGGCGGCGAAGCCTTTTTTGTAAGTAGCTTCAGTGTTCATTGTTTCCTATTTTTTCAAAAAGAGAAGAGAAGAAAAAAAGAAGAAAAAAGAAATCAAGGTTGCGTCTTTTACTTAGTTCACAATATTGATTGATATACTTAGGTTGCTCAACGTGCCTCGCCGTAGAACTTGAAACAGAATTCGACGAGCTGGGACGAGGATATATATGGACAGTAAATGGTAGAATCTACAGTTGTTTCATCAGTTCGTACATGATGGTGGAATAAGAAAGCATTTACAGGCCTCATCTCTTTCGGCTGTTGACGTGTCAAGACATCGTTTGCCGTCCTTTGGATTCCTCCACGTTCACATGGACAGCTGCGGATTGATGTTGCGCGTCCAAGGCATATTGACCTACTTCTCCATTAACCCCTGATTATTAGCAGGTTGTGTCTTGCATCGGTCTGCATTCTCGTTGTTCTTGCTCAGTCCTCCTTTCCTGGTCTTGTTCAGCCGGCCGTGTCCATTAGATGTTCATCGGGGTGAGATGTTGCTTTGCCATTAGCTTTTGCCACTATAGTAGCCACTGGCGACCACGATTCGGGGCTTCGGAATAATGACTAGGTCGCTGGCACTAGTGTAGAATAAAGCTCGCGATGGCTGTACTAGCTTTCCGGAGAGCTGATCAGTGTCTTCCGGTGGGGGCGGGGCAACACGTAGCGTGACCGATGATGCCTAGAAAACTTCCTTTCCTGGCATTCGTTGCAGTTTGAAATACCTGTACAGAGGTAGACTCACTTTACAATCCCCCCCTAACCCCCCGCCCCCCTTTCGCAATGCCATTATCCCCAGAAGAGCGCGAGGCAGGGGAGGCTGGCACTGTGCCAAGGCGTCAACGGATAGTCAAAGGATCGTGTTGGCCCTGCAAGAAACGTCGACTTAAATGCGACCTTGGCAAGACTGCATGCCAGAAATGCCTTGCGTCAGGCACTAGTTGCAGCTACGACAAAGTTGTGTTGCGATGGAGCGGGCGGCCAAGTAGGAACATACCACGCGTATACGATCAGTCATTGCTTAGCGTCGGACTGCCTGCTGCCAACGAGAAACGTGCCCTGGATTATTTTGAAACCCGACTATGGCCTCTGCTGTTCACGATTGACCTGCCCCCTTCTCCGCTCATGTCGGTCGTCCTGCAATCGACTCCTGTGCGCCATGCAGCTTGTGCATTTGCCGAAGGACATAGAGCGTCATATGCGAGAGGACTGTCACAAGACAGCCTCATGAACAGACGCTTGCACTGTATTACCTCTATTCGGGAACAACTTGCCGACTACTCCGGGAGTCGTGAAGCCCTGTCACCTCTCTTGCTTGCTGTTCTCCTCCTTTACTTCCTGGACGGCTTTGTCGAGTGCAGGCAGCAACAACTTTCCGTGCACTCCCACTACAACGGTGTACTGGCCATAATAGAGGCGCTCGGAGGCCAGCAAGCTGTTTGCTCATCGACATATCCAGAGGCTTCGTTGTTACTTTCCGAATTTGTGGCCGCGGATCTTACTGAAGCTGTACTGCAAGGCCGTCTGCCGTACTTTGACGCTGCCATTTGGAAGCAGATCGAGTCAGGCCAGGTCTGGTGGGCGGTGCAGGATGTCGGCAGCCAGTCGTTGGCCTCTGTTTTTGGAACCATGGCTTCGATAAGTCAATATTCGCACCATAAAGAACTTGAACTCGAAGTATGGCGTTCGACAGTAAGCTCGTTTGAGAGCGCTTTGCAACCTGCTTACTCTACTCTTGGATTCCACGGACTAACAGATCTGCACCATGTCCAACAACCTAGGCAGGCACGGTCCCGTCTTTTCTCTCAAGCACTTGTTCGGGCATATCAACATGCCGCCCTGATTTACCTTTATCGAGTGATTTGCAGCCTTCCGACAGGCCATTTCCTGGTCCAGCAACACGTCCAAGGTTGTCTCGACTCCGTACAAGGCGTTGCCAGTGAATCAAGGTTGCATAATTGCACAAGCTTCCCATTATACGTCGCCGGGGCTCATTCTTTAGAAGAGCGCCACAGGAACTGTGTGCTACACAACCTACAGTCTATTCATGCAGACCTCGCATTTCAATCAGTACTCTGCATTCGATCAGCTCTAGAAGGCCTTTGGAAAGAGCCTGGAGGACAGTCGGGGGACTGGTCTCATACTTTCAAAGATTTCACTTCTGCCATTTTAGTAATATAATTGAATTCCAGACACTGATGAGGAATCTCGTGATGTTCTCAGTACTCTATAAAATCTAATGTAATTGCTTCAGTGATAGAATAACATTTAGAAAGGAGTCTCCAACGATTCTTCAACAATCTTCTAATGAAACACCTTTCCAATTTCTTACTATTCATTCGAAATCTCCAGAACAACCAGAGGACTATATGTCCTGGCCTATGTTAACCCCCTTCAAAGTTCCCTGGATTTATCGAAGCAAAGGTCTCGAATACGTACAATTCCAACACACCCAAGAATCTGGCAACAATGCCCACGGGCGAGTGGCATGATTCGATCAAGCGTTTTGTTCTGTCATTGATAATTGTTATTATCATTATGAAACATTAATCATAGCTCCAAGGGCTTTTATACCAACGTTTTCTTCTTTTTCATTATAACAAGGCATCACTCCTTGTAGACCTTTCTCTGTTCCTTGGCCTCCCAATCAGCAACACATGGAGCAAATATCAATTTTCCATGAAATCCAAACCAAACTGTGCCACAAGCCACCACGATCCAAAGCAAAGTTACCACAACACTAAAAATGGTTCCGAGTACCTTGAAGAAAAGCGACGGCAGCTCTTTGGCCAATGTTGTGGTGGCAACAGTATACACGCCCAATGGGAAAGTGAAGCCCCACCACCCGAGGTTAAAGGGAAACCTCATTCGCGAAATGGACGACAGTGCAAAGAAGAGCCAGACGAGACCAAAGCCCCACATGACAAACGCCATTAAAATGCCGGCAACATAGAAGATTTGACCCGCCATGGGAGCTGCTGGGACATAATTGTTGCGCCCAAAAAGGGCCATGGCATCTTTTCCTAGCTGTATAATGCAAAATGCTCCTTGACCAAGCGGTCCCAGCGGTAGAAAGACTGACACAAGCACCTCCCGCGGGGGTAAATGGTGAAAGGTAAGACGTTGAAAATATATCACCATGGTGAACATGGCCAACGGCACTCCACAGCCCCATAGAATGTAACATATTGTGACGGTCCAAATTGCGTGCTGGTCGTTTGGGAGAACACTGGCAATGATGGCCCCCGAAGCAGCTGCGACAATGGTCGCTACAATGGGCAGCAGCCATGCGGCAGTCATTTTGGAGAGCGCCGCCTACATCTCATGTTAGCTTTGTTGCAACTTTCTTTGGGGTAGTCGGATGAAAGTATACTTCATGCTTGTACATGATGACAAAAGGTAGATGCAAATTTGTCCCGACTGCACACGCCACATCGAACCACCACAAAGCCCATGCCAAGTATGCAGCCCAATCACCCCATATGGGTACACAAACAAATACAATCATGTTGATTATAGTGGCGAGTCCCATGGGAAATGTTCCTGCATATTTTGTAAGTCATTTTTTATAATTGAATGGCGGTATCAAGTGAACTTACCGAGAAATAAGGACTGTACGGGATGTCTCATCATGGCAGACCACATGCCCGGAAAGAGCGTATAGCGTAGTATGGAAACGATGAGGAACAGTATAAATAAAGCAATATTGAGACAAAACAACACCACGGATATCCAACAAAGCCAAGGTCCATTGGAAGGAAGGTTGTGCAACAAAATCGAAGTGATGCCGGTCCCCATGTTGACACTAAACCAAGACGGAGTAAAGTGTATAATCAGTTTGCGCCATCCCCGGGTATGGCGTAGTTTTGTCGGGCATGCCTCTTGGTGGCAGCCCCCGGTCGCATCCCCGTTGGTGTCGTGATCATTGGGAGTATTATGGCAAGTGCTTGCAGCTTCAGAGTCCTCCATGGTATTAGTGTTTCTAAATTGAAAAGTGAGTTGAAGAGAAAACAAGACGAAAAGTGGTGACTCAGAGAATGGAAAAAATATCTAAAGTTCAATTGCGAGAAATTTACGGTTTACATAGCAAAACTCACAGTCATCCATCTCTGCGGGAAGCGGCCATTTCAAGTAAAGGTCATGCGGCGAGATCGAATCTTTTAATTGATTGCTAGTACCGAATTAGACAGGATTCAGATTTATTTGCCTTCCGAGCCGTTTGACTATCCGGGCCCGATATGCGCACAGAGGCTCAGGAGGTTGCCGAGGCCCGTATAAGAGGTTGTCTGACGGTACGGAACCGCGCATCCACTAGCGTTGGTACCTGAGCCACTGCTGGCTAGGTACCGCTGCTGGGGTCTGGTGGTTTACAAGCCTTGTGTACTAGGTATATAGGGCAAAAATGATTCAGAGCAACGTGCCATGGCGCAACAGATGAAGTCGCGCTGTCTGGGTAACTACTAATCAATCATGCATCATGGTCGACTTTGGCATATCATGTCGCAGTATCCCGTAGAGACTCATTGAGACCAGGAATAACGATTAAGCTTGGGTACTCCGTACAGAGGATATACCCACTAGGTTAGGTGTGTACAAAGAGATGAACGGACCATGAGCCGCATTCACCCGAAACGTCAGCTCCATATGACTGACACTCTGGGTGCCACAACACCATAGAGTCATTATCGAGAGCATTTGTTCGTACATTGGCGAGGGATTGCATCAAGCCACCTAGCATGCGTCGTTTGAATGATGATGAAATTGCCAACAAAATTGTAAAAAGATGCCTGGAAATGTGATAGGCGGTGCCGAGAGGCAGTACATCTTTATTTGTGTGACCTATGTGTATGGATATATAGATGGAGAGGCTGACATGGAGAAACAGGAGATTAACCATAGAGACATTTTCGGTTGGTCTGTCTTATTAGATTCTACCAACAGTAATCCTGCCCTATTATAGCGCCTGCTCCGTTCACGCCTCCTTGTTCAAGTCACCCTTATCTTGAGGAGCTTCGGCTGGCACGGGCTTCTGACTACCCTTGGTCTCGATGTGCGAGTAGACCTCAACCTCGATCTTTTCTGCGCCGACGTCATGTTCACCAACCTCGACGGCATCGACTTCTCCAAATATCTTATCCATCCTTTCGAGTGAAATGCCTTTGGTTTCTGGCAGAATGAATATCACAGAAATCTATGCCAGCCAGTTAGTGTATCATGATCAAAAATGCAGCTGAGATTATTCTTACCAGGAGTAATGTGTTGAGCCCAAAGAGGAGCCAGTAGCTCCGCCCGCCGACCTCGGCATTGAATGTTGGCCACGGCTGCGTCAAGGCCAACAGACAGGCGGTCTGCCCCAGCAATGAGAATCCGAATGCCTTGTCGCGAACCTCTTGCGGGAAGATCTCTGAGGCAATAGCTGGTGGGATTGGGCCGTTGGACCAGCAGTACGTGAGTCCAACGATGAACAACATGGCTATTTCCACTACCGCGGCCGCTCTGTTGGAGTTATCGGGGAACGATGTACACAGCGAGGCCAGAATCAGTAGTGCCGTAGCCTGGATGGCGAAGCCTGCGATTAGAAGGGCTCTTCGGCCAAAGCGATCGACCGTAAAGGTATTGACTAGAACAATAACGAGCTGCAGAGCAGCCTGGATACCGTTGATGGCGAGAGCCTGATGACCTTCATTCCATCCCAAGGATTGGTAGATCTAGACACCAATCAATCGATTACTCCCAGCAAGAGAAAGTTGGAGAAGGACTTACAAGCGTTGCATACATGGTGAGTGCTGCTATTCCTCCAGCCTGCTGCAGCGCAGTTGCGTACAGACCGTAAAGAAGACGCTTCCGCATGCCTGCTGATTTGAAGAGGCCAGTATAGCCGGTATCGTAGTGCTTGCGTGCCTCCTTTGCAGCCAGCAACTCATGAAACTCGGCTCGAACATGATCAGATTCAGGGGTGCCCATTCTCAATTTGCAAATGACTTGCAAAACTTGATCTGGGTTTTCCGGATATTTCTCCAACAACCATCGAGGAGACTCGGGATACCAAAAGCTGAGAATTATGAACGCCACGCCAATGGGAATCTGAATTACGTTGGACACACGCCACGCAATGTTGAAAGGCGAAGTATAAAAGCTCATGCCATATCTAATGGCTTGTTAGTACTTGGTACAGCCGGAAACGCTTCAAATGATACACCTACCCAGCCCAAAATGCGATAAAAGTGCCTAGTTGGTACCCAAACTGTGTAACGGTACCGACAAAGCTTCCCCTCAGTAAGCGAGGGGAGCACTCGGCGACGTAGAGAGATGTTGCAATGTAAACACATCCGAACCCAAGTCCAGTCAGGAGACGGCCCAATATGAGCACACCCCATGTATTAGGGACACTCTGAACGATGACGCCAATGATCATGACACTGATGGAGATGCGAAGTGCCCATAGTCGTCCGACCAGATTAGCAAGCGTTCCGCCGACAAAGAGCTGCGCGAGGCCTGTGGTTGCCCATGGCGCAGCTGCAATGGTCCCGGTGCGTGATGCATCGACATTGTAGTACTGTATGAATTGCTTATCTGCCAAGATGACCGTCATGATGCCTAGGTACTTGGGTCAGTCTGTCAGATGCCGAAAGTTGTGTAGGGGTTGTTAATGCCCGTACCTGCATCGTACCCGTTGAAACATGTGGAGAAGACCATGCCGTATAGCAATAGCGCTGCATAGCGGTCCTTTTCCGGCAAGAAATTCTGGAAGAACCCCATTTTTTTCTTGGGTGCCACGACACGAAATTGTTGGGTAGTAGATAATTTTGGATGTGTCTGTTTACGATGCTACACTCCCGTCGTTGCTGGATTTATGATACTCAAATAAAGACATTGTAAGTTATAGCCATCACTGGGCGAGGGTCGTATTTCCGGTGGGAGCTGACTTCCCATTGGCTCAGCGTGCTGGCGGAGAAACTCGATGGTTCAATGCGCCCAGCCATTGGGAGAAACCGATGGGAGGGCCAATAGAGACGAGCCCATGAATATACTGAGTGCCGCCCCGGGATCGGGGCACATTTGCGGCTCCACCATACCCCAAGAGCCGTGTTTGTGGAGATTTGCGGGGGAAGGCGATGGACTCTGGGGTAAACATAGAGGCATGGCCCGTTCCTGCATTCGTGGAAAGGCTCATGATCACAATGCCGAGTGCCATCAATGGCAAAAATGTAACCCCTTTGGGCCTCGGGACTTGGTCCAAGAACGGCCAGTCAAGGTCCGCGTCAAGTATAAAGATAAATAGCACCAGTCGATCACAGTGAAAGTAAACATTGGGTGACAAGAACGAGTGTCATCTAGTTCGTGATTACTTCATATCTAAATGCTGAGTCAGTGGTCTTTGAGAAACATGGTATCTGCTCTCAAGTTCCTTCTCCTGGCGGCCAGCTGTACTGCTAGCAGCAACATTGCCGCCCGCGATAGTATCACCGCCACGGTAGACCTGTCAAGTTCAAATGGATCACCCAAGCACCTGGCTTCCGGTTTCATCTATGGGATTCCGGACAACTACCCCAACCAAATCCCAGACTCATGGTTTGTCCCAATACTCGACATCTATCGGTCCACAAGCACACTAACGAGGCCTCTTTCAGGTACCAAGCAATAGACTTCAACTACGCCCGCACCGGTGGAGCACAGCTTGGCTCTCCAGCTCGAGGATGGATCTACGGAACAACGGATTACCAAGGCAGACTCCAGTCATCCTACCTAAATTACGAGGCAAGAAATCATGAACATACGACTCAGCATAGGTATTGACAGATTTCAGGTGGCTAGAAAGTTTGGTGCTTCCGTCATCTTGCTGGTACATGACATTTGGGGAACCGACGGTATGTGCTAATTGGCGTTTTCATATGCATACTTTCTTCGTGACGATCCTAATGTGTTATCAGGCGTGACGAGCTCCACGAAATGGCCCGGCGACAATGGCGATTGGACCGACTATGACAAGTATATCTCTACACTCCTGAATGATCTGGTCTCCAAGAACATGCTTGACGGGCTTGTTATCGATATCTGGAATGAACCCGACCTTACTGTCTTTTGGAACCGCCCTCTCCAGCAATGGGTGAATCTCTACATCAGAACCCACAAGGCAATCCGGTATGTTATGGAAGACGTTGTCTTGCGGGACGTTATTGACTAACCAACCACCACAGGGCCGACTCCCGCTTCAATAACGTCAAGATTAGCGGCCCCAGCTTGGCAAATCAGCCGCTGTCCAGCAACTCCTGGTGGACAACGTGGCTGTCGCAGGTTGCTGGCAACAACACCGTACCAGATCAGTACTCGTACCATCTGGAGGGCGACTACACGAATCAGGTCGACGATCCACAGTATACCAATGCTTCCCTCGCTGCGCTGCTGAGCACCTACGGCTTGCCAGGTCGTGAGGTCAACATTAACGAATATGCCACATATACTGAGATGAAGCCCTCTGGATATGCCTGGTGGATTGCTCGCCTTGAAAGATACAACTTTTGGGGTCTTCTTGGAAACTGGCAATCTGGAACAACATGTGAGTAATTGTGACAATCTGCCGTGTTTGGTAGAGAACATCTCTCGTCTACCAACCCTCTTGAAAAAGGGTGCTAACCCGGTCAAACTTTCAGTGCACGATCTGTTTGCCAATTTGATCACAAAGTCGAGCAATCCATATACATACAGTGCCACTGATTACGTTGCTGCACCCGGCTTCTGGGTCTACAAGTACTATGCCCAAAACATGACGGGCGTACGTCTTACCACAACCGGCAGTACCGATAGGATATTGGATGTGTACGCGACCAAGGACTCGAGCACGGTTCGGTTGCTCGTGGGTTCTCGCATCACCACGGGCACTTGGGCTGTGCAGGTCAACAAGCTGAGCTCCCTTGGCTACGGGACATCAGGCACCGTCACCATCAGCACTTGGGGCTTTGATGGGTCAGATCCTCTGGCAGCACAAGCTGCACCGAGCTTCCGCAACACTGTTGACCACACCTTTTCCGACGACACGTTGACCTTTCCCATCTATCAGGACAACAACTACAATGCCTGGGCCTTTGAATTTGCAGTGCTGAATTAAGAATTGGTGGAGATGCACAGGGTTCACTTTTGTCTAGTGTAGTTAATTGCGACAAGTGTATTAAATTCAATTCTGGTACCCAATATCTAACTTATGGAAACCATTGATGCAAAACGAAGGAATGCGCACTGGTTAAGCCAAAAAGTGTACAAAATACATAAGAATTATGTGTATTGAACAGCTATCCTTTAGAGGTCCGGTAATATCAGATCTCGTGGTTTGGGGCATTGTTATTGAGACCCAAAGACAACCTACATAGATATGGTTCGGGTGAGTGCATGGCTGCATGCAGCAATCGAGGGCATCAATTTGCAGTGCTAGGGATTATGTTCATCAAATGCCTGCAAAAGCCGACCCCAATTACTGTACTTTCTGCAAACCCCATCCGGCCATGTCACATCACTTGACAGGCCATGAAGGACACTGGCGCCTACACAATGCCGGGTATGCTAGGCCGGCGTACGGGGGATTTCCGGTGGGGTGCATCACCTAGCCCCGGAGTGCACCAAATTCCGGTGGGAGGCAGTACCTCACTCGCAGGCATTCGTGGAAGAACTCTACGCAGATGCAGCAGATAACAATTGTGATGAATGACGTAATCGTAGGTCCTGTATCATTCCGGCTGGCAAGACTCCGGCATTGAACATTGTGGGCTAGAGCTTCAAACTGGTCACTTGATTGTATATAGTTTATTACGAGTTGGTGCAAAAGATCCAGTACAACGCGTGACTCTTTGTTAGCGAGAGTTGAGAGTTGAGTAGTACTCTTAGAATCACCTCATCATGTCTTACCCTCAGACCAACTTTGATAAGACGACATTCCACGGTCCGTCGATCTTGAAAAGCCGGCAAGCTGTCGTCGGTCTGGTCACGGCAAAGGCGCAGCTGAAGCAACTCAGAGAGACTGGTAGATACGACTGTTTCAAGCTGCAATGGCATCCCATCTACGACGACCAGTCTCAATGGCCTGCATCAAAGAGTCTTTTTTGGGATAGCGACGTCGGCAAGTGGATTGAAGGCGTCTGCTACCTGCTCGCTACAGAGTATGATGCCGAACTAGATGCAGCAGTGAGAGAGCTGGTCGACATGATCCGAAGTGCGCAGCAAGACGACGGTTACCTCAACGTCTACTTCACTGTCGTTGAGCCGGATAAGCGCTGGTCAAACATAAGAGATCAACATGAGTTGTAAGTCATTGTTGCGGTCCTTTTCAACCCACATTTCTGAGCTACTTCCTGACTCGGAGACAGGTACAATGCTGGCCATCTCATTGAGGCTGCATTGGCTCATAGACGCTACTACAAGAATGACCTCCTCATAGAGCCAATCGAGAAATACGTTCGCCTGATACGTTCCGTCTTTGGACCAGGGGAGCACCAAAAACACGCATACCCCGGACATCCAGAGATTGAGCTCGCCCTGCTCCGCCTCTATAGTGCTACTGGAAACCAGGATGCGTATGACTTGGCACAGTACTTTATTGAAGAGAGAGGAAATCCAACGGGGCAAGATGGAATGCTCTACTACGACTGGGAAGAGAAACAGCGTGGTGATAACAAGTATAAGCGTCCCGACGCGTATCCAGTGACTAGAAGCCACTGGTACAATCAGGCGCATGCACCCATTCTGAAACAAGAGTCGGTAGAGGGCCATTCCGTGCGAGCCATGTACCTCTTGACGGCGGTTGCCGACTTGGTCTATCACGATGTTGGAGGCAAGTCATATGCCCAAAGCACACAATACTTGGCAGCACTGGACAGGCTCTGGAACAACATGGTGGACAAGAAAATGTATGTTACCGGGGGAATTGGTGCCATGCATCAATGGGAGGGCTTTGGGATTGACTACTTCTTGCCACAAAGCACTGATGAAGGTGGGTGCTACTCTGAGACCTGCGCTTCGATTGGTGTCATGATGCTGGCGGAGCGTCTCCTACACCTTGATCTCCACTCCCGGTACAGCGACATTATGGAGTTGCAACTCTACAATGCCGTCATGACGGCCATGAACTTGGAGGGAACAGCCTTTACCTACGTCAACCAGCTTGGTAGCTCGGAGAAAGACAAGAGTGCCCGCGAGACATGGTTCGAATGTTCGTGCTGCCCACCCAACTTGATGAGGCTGTATGGGAGTCTTGGTGGCTACCTCTGGGATCATGGTGCCTCAAGCGAAGGCGCATTCATCAACGTGCACCTCTATACCACGGCTCAAGTCAAGTTTGATGTTGGAGGACAGAAGGTCCAGTTGGCGCAGAAATCGAATTGGCCATGGGAGGGCAAGATTGAGTTTGAGCTAGACTCGAATGCCAAGGTCGACATCCGGCTCAGGCTCCCGGCTTGGTCCGAAGGGGCTTACATAGTACGTGTCCGACCTTATCACCGCCGTGTTGGTGATTTTTTATTCCGCTGACAGTGAACCTTGAACAGCTCGAACCTCCGCTCAGCGATGCCAAAGTCGACAACGGGTACTTGCTTCTGCCATCGTCATACACTTCTCACAGCAAGCAGTTCTCACTGGATATTCAAGGATTCGAACCCCGGCACATCTCGCCACACCCGTACACGAATCAGAATACATTAACGCTGGCTCGAGGTCCAATTATATATTGCGTGGAAGATGCTGACAATGAATGGGAGTCTGATCACTTTAGGAATACTGTCATCTCTGCCGACTCGCCGGTTGCGGAGTTTGAGCGCGAGATTGCAGGAGAGAGATACATTGAGCTGCGCTCATCCGGCTGGACCCGAGACTTGGACTCTTGGAAGGGGAAGCAATCAGGGTCTGAACCAGGAGCCAAGAATAGTTCTGGAGTTCTAGGCGACGAAAAGGAGCTTGTATTTGTTCCGTATTATCTACGAGCGAACCGTGGCGGGAAAGGGCACATGCGGGTTGGGCTGCTCAAGCAGTAGAACCGCTGGAGGAAACATGTAGCTCATGTAGGAACCCATGATCATTAGAATGGATATACATCACCGCGTGGCTAGGCTCTGTGAAAAGGTCGTAAAAGATACATCTGAATTACCTAGTGCAATTTGCCATCAGCAAAATTTCGAGGAATCATTGCAATCAATCATGCCAAGCGACGAGTTATGACGGTCAATTGCGCAGCTCTGGATTGGCACGGATGTTGGGGATAGTGGCACCGCTATCCCCGCACCCCAGCACCCGACAGTATCCCCAACTTCCCCCAAATATACCCCCTGTATGTGAACGGGGATATGTACATTGGTGGACTAAAGATCGCTCGGAACCAAGTTACCGGGTTCCCCTCGCTTGACACTGGAAGTTGCCTCCCGCATCCGTCGAAACGCACCGCGAGCCGCTCGCAACCTGTTCAAAAATCTCGGATTGTGTAGCGTGCCTGTACCACTCACGACACAATGTAAAGAATCGTCCAAGTATAATTCCAGTTCTATCTAGGAGTGAGGGCATGACAGCCATGCGTTGCCCGCCATGTCACCACCAAGCCATGACCCTTTGGACCGGGATCAGCTAGGGGAACAGGGTCAAAACTATTCAGCGAAACACCAGTGCCCTCGATGCCCGTGCACTTTCAAGCGCATCGAGCATCTCAACAGGCACGTGAAAAGTCATACATCTCAGAAAGCATTCATATGTGACGTATGCTTCAAGGAGTTTGCCAGAAGGTCAGTTGGTCGCCCCTACACCGTCCTGTCGACATGTGCTGAGAGATGTCAAAGTGACATCCTTCACCGGCATAGCTTCACCCACAGAACGCCCATCGGAGACACTGGGAAGCCCAAACGACGAAGAGCTTGTACAGAATGCGCAAAAGCACGAGAGAGGTGCAGCAAAGACGAGCCTTGCAGAAGATGTTTGACTAGGGGACTATCTTGTGCATACCCACCAGAGCCTCGAGGACGGCAACCTAGACGTTCACCTCGAGATGACGTCTTGAATGTAGAGGCTCAACCGAGCCCGCAGGCGCACAACTATCAACAGGTTTCAAAGCCTGGGCTGCAGCCATTATTACCGACGTCTCAAGCGCTGACAGCCACCACCCCTCGCTCTACCCAGTCCGCGATTGAGATGATGGGTGCAGATGCCTTGCGCCGCCAGCAGCAACACGACCATTTGCAGATTGGAGGAGCGAACAGCACGGGAACAGGTCCAGGTATTTCAAATCAATACCTCGGTGCCATGTACGATCCCGCCACCCAGATGGATGTGGATACACTGTTCCCGCTTGTACAAGACCAAGGAGGGTTCAGCCAGAGCATGGACTACCCCATGAACTGGCTACCGGCGAATGACACCATCGATATCGACTACAGCTCCATACTCGATTTCGGCATTGGACCATATGCAGATACAAGTCCTCTTGCCTTGGGACCGACTCAGGACATCTCTCTTTTGCCACCTGACACCAACGTCGGTCAGAACAATCAGCTCAGTGTTGCGGGGAATTCGATTGCTCCGGGTAGTCGACGACTGAACGATCCCACCGTGATACTCCCCCCAGTTGTATCTATTTCATCCCCGACTCATACCACATCCTCTCATTCCCAAAGTTCCGGATCCGAGTCGAGACTTTCGACGCAAGGAGGGCTATACGCTACTAGCAACGATGGCGCCAGAGTCCCATGCACAATCCGATCAAGACAACACCGGCACATTTTTTCAGGTGCAACGCCAGTTCATCCTTCTCTCGACAGCGAGATTGAAGCTGACGACTTCAGCCTAAGATTCCCTGCTCTTGATGGAATTGTGTCTCAAGATATCGAGGAGGCGATTGAAGGCATATCGGCGTCGACGTACGACACTATCCTTGCTAACTTTCAAAGAATGTGTCTTACCCCAGGAAGCTTTTTTCCGCCTTTCGTCAATGAAAGCTTCCCAAGTCTTGACCAGATGAACATCCTAATTCAGCTGTACTTTGAATATTTCGATCCCATCTTCCCCATCGTGCATAAGGAACAAGTTGAACTGAACAACTTTTGGCCTTTGGCTCTGTCCATGTGTGTTATTGGATGCCGATTCACCGACACTCAAGAGTTTACCCGATGCATTGTACCGTTCCAGGAGTTTCTTCGTAGAGTTCTAACATTCGAGGTTGAGATGAATCCAACAGAAGCGATGATTATACCGTTAACCCAAGCGCTGATCCTCAGTCAAATTGGCTTACTCTATTCCGGGCAACGCAAGTCATTCCTTCAGGCCCGAGCCAGGCGCAGTGTTCTTACGGAACTTATCAACACGACTGGGGCGTCCACAGTTTACGAAGGAACAACGCTCGATGACTCAGACGAGGTCAGAAACTTGCAAACGCAACAAGAATGGGAACTATGGATCACTGCTGAGACGAAGCGGCGAATTGGATACTCCGCCTGGGTAAGAAACCCTCTCTTTGTCCTCGCAAGTGGCTGTATTTTGTAGCTGAGAGTCATAGCTGCTCGATTGCATGTCACGATATCATTTTGGAGAGAGATTTATCGGGTCGACGGATGCGACACAGCACGAGCTCCCAAGCGAAGATCTTTGGAACTGCAAAACAGCTTGGCAATGGTCTCGATCATTTCGAAAAACTGAAAGTAAGTTCTAATGGCGATAGACCTCGAGCCTGAAAGAGCTGACTCAAACCACAGAAAATCCTTCACTGGCATCGGCAGTGACCATGCTGTTCCTTGAGAAGAAGTTCAAAAAGGACATTGGACAGTTCTCAAGCTTGCTGCTGCTGCATGGCGTTTACGAGGAGATAAGGAGGGTTCAGTACTACCTTGACAGGCCCCTTTCATCCTGGGTGCCTTCGCTGTGGCTCAACCCGGGATCCCCACCTGCAGAGAGCGATCATGAGTCCGCCCAGCTATCTGACACAAAAAACAATCTTGCAGTCTGGCGCAACGCGGCTCTTGACTGTGTTGATGTTCTTCACTGGGCAGCCAACGCCACCGTTGCAAGTGCCGCAGGCGTGGAACATTCCACCGTCTTGCATCTTCACCTGTCAAGGGTGGTCTTGCTAGTGCCTTATACAAGTATACAGACTTTGGCAAAGTCAATATCGACTTTGACAGCGGACCGCTCCACTACCTGGTCCAAAACAATGAGGGAAGACGCTCTACGGGCGGAACAAGAGGTGGTCCGTTGGGCTCAGCAAGATGAGGTATGTTTCCCCTTATCTCGAGCGGATTTGCGGCGCTCAAGGCTGATTGATTGCCATGCAGCACAAAGCGAGACTCGCAGTCCTCCACTGTGGGTGCCTTTACTGGCATATCCGACGGTATAGTCGTCGTGCGTTCTATGAGCCAGTGTCCGTATTTCTTGCTACCTTGACACTTTGGGCTTACAGTATGTACGCTTCGCGAGCATCACCAGTAGGCGCTGAAGTGCAGAATGACCTCGAAGGTATTCGAAGTGGAAGCATCACCCGACATGCTTCTCCAGAGCCGCCTTCCGATCAGAGACTTAGTGGTCGCGAGGCCAGAGGTCAGCGATCGAGTGCTACGAATCAGCTAGAGTTCGAGGATGATGCGGAACCGACTTTCATCAGGCTAGACCGTCCGAACGACGACGAGATGGTGCAGCAATTTGTCAAATCAGGTCGACCATCAGTGATGCGGGCATATATCACAGGGGTAGGAAACATATGCTCCCCGCAAGGGCCAGCCAGGATTTTAAGAGAGGGACGGAAGATACTAAGTTCGGTATCGTCGGCCTGGAGCAGGACGCAGGATTATATTTCAACTCTAGAGTCGGTCGAAGCGGTGACAACCAATAGCCACAATTGGGATTCACGTGAGAGACTATCTGCGATGACAGGCAAACGATCAGGCTGGTGGTCGTTGGCAACATAGATTGCATCTCTGGCCCGTGTCACGTGGGTACGTGGAACCTGCAAAAATGGCCCTTCAATATATATTATTATGTTAATATGTCTATTTGGGAATAATCTTTTCATCCTTCAGCATTTCAAAAATGCCCTCCAGATTATCCCAGCTATCGTAGTAACCAGTCCATCCTAACTTTCGTGCCTTGCTCATGCTCAACACAACATTGTAGTCACGGCCCCAGGCAAAGTCGGCAAATGCCCAAGAGGCCTTTTCTAGCGCCGAAGCATCGAGACCTTCACGTTCGCTCAACTTCTTCCAGGCCGCTTGCACATCTTTTTGTTCTGCCCACCTGACCAGATTAATCCGCTGGCGAACGTAGCTCTGCGGGGCACGATTCTTCAAGCCGATGGCATCAGCTTGGACTGACAGCGGCGGATGAGGAACCAGCGCCCTCTCGGCCGCCAGCGGCGCGGGGCGCAGGAACTGGTCCGCGGGGACGGCAAGGCCAAAGTAGTTTGCCACGCGCGGCCACAGGTTCATCCACGACTCGACGTCGCCATTGGCAACGTTGAACGCCTCATTGGCCGCCCTGGGCTCGAGGGCGGCCCAGCGACAAAAGCGCGCGTGCAGGCCGGCGTCGGTAAAGACGGTGACATTGTTGCTGTAAAAGCCCTCGGAGCCGGGAAACACGAGCTCCGAGCCCATTTCCTTGGACACGGCCGCGTAGAGGGCAATGGCGCTGGCAAAGTTCATGAAATTGCCCTTGGCGAAACCGAGCACCTCGTTGGAGTAGGTTACGTTCCACTCGATGGCGTGGGTTTTGGCAAAGTCGTGGAGAATGTGCTGTTGGCGGTAGTAAAAGTTGGGAGGGAAGGGTGGCTCTGGCATCCTGTGATGATTTAGTAAGTAATCTTCGGGAAAGCGCTGATCTCAAAAGACAGAGACAGAACTAGGGCTCACCAGGGATCTCCTTCAACCATGGGAACCTTGGTCCGGCCGAGAGCGACACCATATTGCTTGGCTCCGCAAACAAGGACAAAACGCTTCACGCCGGAAGCATTGCCATTGATCTCGAGAGCCTTGCAGAACGCGGCCAGCATGTCGCCTGTGCCGATATTAGCACTCCAAGTGTTCTTATCAGTCGAGCTGCGCGTGGCTCACCGTTGACGCGGGTGTTCTCCTCGTCGGAATCCATTTGCAAATATGCAGCAAAAAAGACATAGTCGGCCTTGAGATCCTTCAAGTCCTGCGCCATGTCCTCGGCGGCTGCGTTGAGATCAAGATGGACATGTTCAACCCGAGGACCGAAATCCTCCTTCTTTGACCGCGACAGGCTGTAGATCTTTGACCATTCATCTGGGTGGCTGCAGAGCTCCTTGACGATTTCTCGTCCGAGAATACCTAGGGTCATGCAAATTAGCCGCCTCCTGTCATCTCAAACAGAAGCGAGAATATTCAGCTTGATATCCTTACCTGTGGCACCTGTCACGATTGCGGTTGGCATCTTGATTGTGCTGTAATTTTCGTGTGTTGGAGATATTTTGCTATAGAGGTACTAGAAATTTGTCACTGAATTGTGAGAGTTATTCTATATTTATATACAATTCGAGAATCATCGTCGAAAGGGCTGTGTGAAGTAAGCTTGCTCTAGGCCAAACTTTCCTCCTTGTTTACTCCAATCCTGCCACCAAGGGATTTGCTGGTGATGACATATGTCCATGCACTTACCGGGAGACAGCCAAATTTGCATTAGTTCTGCTTCTCTCGAAAGCTTAACTCAGCAACTCAGTCTTCTTGGCATTGGTACGTCATGCAGGAGCTCCTTGATAAAACAGACCTTCTGAGTAATGATCCTGATAGCACTTGAAACTGAGTCGCTGCTTTGCTAGACTTGTAATATGGAGATTTTCATTCCGCTTCCTTTTAGCTTGTAATTCAAAACCACTCTCAGTATACCGGGTTTACTTTGTCACATATTTAGTCATCAAGTCTTACCGTGTAATAGCAATTCAGCAATCAATAGACTGGTGGGTCGAAACTGAATCGGGTGTAGGCGGCGCCAAGTTCTGCGACTATTCCAAAATTTGCTCGACTCATGAAACCAAAGACCGAAGAGTATAGCAAAGCCCGAGTATCAGTCCCCACGTTGCCATTTTGCTCCAAAATGACGGAGCGCCTAACCGCTACCAATTCTGTACTGTTTTGAATCTAACAATCTAATCTGCAATAAGCAAGGCTTTCATGAGATCTCAAGGTTGATCAAGCAGATCCCGACTTTGTGAGCACAGTTTCCAAGAACAAGCCATGATTTTCACTTTTATGTAGTCAACGACGTCAGACATGCGATTAATAAACAAGATATCTACCACTGGGATACGGTGAAGCCGATTGGGGACTAAACAGCATTGTCGGCGATAGGACTTTTCTGTTGGTATGGTAGATGTTGTAGTATTAGCCCCTGAATACCCGCACGAAGTGCTCTGGTCCATGTTAGTTGAATACAACATAAATAGAGCCTCTTCATTATCAGGATTACGACAAGCCGACGCTTCACATCACACAACAAATATAGAAAAATTACGCATATCCTGCATTCAACCAAACACGATGGCAAACAGCAATTTGAGGTTCACGATGTTAATCAAGCGCAAACCTGAGATTAGCGAGGAGGAGTTCCACAAGTACTGGACAGAAGAGCATCCAGCCATCGTCAATGAATGGCTCGCAAAGCATGGTGTTGTGAAATACGTTCAAGTAAGTTGATTTACGGTGAAATATTTCTAAAAGCATGGCGAATCGAAAGTTACCAACATAGTAATTTCTAGTACCACCTCCCATCGTCATTCCGTGCGCAGAGCGAACAAGTCTGGACCGAGCTCGGCTCTGATCACGTTAGCGACTTCGATGGCCATGTAGTTCTCACTGTTCCCAACCTCGACGCACTGAAGAACGCCCTGGCCGACCCCTACTACAAGTCCCATGTCCAACCAGACGAGGCCAAGTTCATCGACGCTAAGGGGTGCTACCGTACATTTGGTTATGAGCAAATATACATCAAGGATAACAAGGTCATCTCTGACGGGGTTTCAACATCGAAGTTATAGTCCCATACATGCCTAGTATTCTGTGGCGGGGGTTGCCAGATAATCAGTATAGCTGTAATCCCAGTCTTGGCTCTGTTCTAGTTCCTCCTGCACCACTTGGGTAGGATTACTCGATGCTCAATGTTTGAGCATCTCAAGATGCATGCTACCGTACAGCATATGCCAACTAGATATATAGTACAAAAGCATGATATATATGTTTTCCAAACCAATAAAAAGTTGTTTAAAATTTCAGCCAGTCCCACGGATATAAGCTAAATCCTTCCACTGCATTCTATATTGACAAGCAGTTCTATTTTATTTTATTTTATTTTATTTTCCTTTTTATTTCAGCTGTTAGCCTTTTCTGCATTGAGCGCCCCAATGACCTTCATCACGCTGATCATATCCTCTTCGCCAAGCCCCGACTCTATTGCCTGTTTGTACAATGTGCCACAAAGCTGTATTAGTGGCGAATTCACGCCTGATCCGGCTGCTGCTGTTTGAATAAGCTGAGTGCTGTTGTAGCAGTCCTTGATGGCTGCCTGCGCAGACCAATCCTGATTGAGCATCTTTTGAATCTTGAGCCCCGAATAGGCAGACGCCATGGGACCGGCCTGTATGACCTGGGCAAAGGCATCGAGATTGAGTCCTTGCGCTTGAGCCAGGTTCATGGCCTCGGCAAGGCCCGCGGTCATGGTGATGAGAAAGAGGTTGACCGCGTACTTGGTCTTGAGCCCCATGCCGACGGGGCCGCAGTAGATGGCGGCGCTCGTGATGGGCTCGACAACCGACTGTATCCTCTGCGCTACCGCCTCGTCGCCAGCCATCATGCCCACCAGTGTGCCTTGTTCCGCGGGCACTCTGCTGCCGCTGACGGGCATTTCGACAAAGTCGCCACCCGCCTGGGAGACCTCGGCCGCGAGGCGTTGGCTAAAGTCTGCCGAAACCGAACTGGTATTGATCAATGTTTTGCCGGCGAGGGCCTTGTAAAATGGCTTGTCCATAATGGTGTCGAATGCGCGCTCGTTGAACAGCATGGTGAAGATCACGTCGGACTGCTCCAACACTTCGATCGGTGATTCTGCAATGTTGGCACCTGCTTGCCGGAGGACTGCGTATTTTGCTGGGCTTCGGTTCCATACTGAGAGAGGGAAGCGACGGGAAAGATTGAGGGCCATGGGCGTTCCCATCACCCCCAAACCCAAGAAGCCGACTCGCATCGTGCTGAAAAATCTGCGTGTTTTAAGTTTGCCGCGGTTGCGAGGACAGGATGAATATTTCTTGGGGCCCAAGACAAGAACTCGAACTTACAGAACCAAAAAGTGTGACAATTTTGATTTTCGGCGAATTCGACGACTTTGCTCATTCCCCTAGTGCAGAGTAGAATGCCGATTGAAGGCGGAAGCTAAAAAGTTGGGTGACCAAACTGACTATTCGAAACTCCACCATTCTGACTCGAAGGGCGAAGGGCGTAGGGCGTAGGGCGTGCATTTGTGCAATCCGTGAACTAACACGAAGAGACGGAGTGCAAAGTCTTCTTCACTGGGAAAACAGGCCGATAAATCCAAGTTTTACTTGAAGATTAATATTACTCTGACAGTATGACGCGATGAAGTCAAAAGGTCGCCGTTGAAATTGATCTTGATCTCTGCTTTAAGGGTCAAAACGGTGCCAGCAATTTTCCGATGCCACACTCATCTGCCGTGAGGATTATCATGGGCCTTCAGACTTGACTTTCTTGCCGACGGCATGCTGGTCATGAAATTGCCCACGAGGTCCGGCCATAGCAAGAATCCCAAGAGTAATCAACGGGAGGTTTCCAGATTTTCAAGCCATTGACATTTTTCCAATGTCAAATAACTGACCAACAAGAACAAGAGAGGATTGATTGGAGCCGAATCTGATATTGAGTAGAGGATCATTCTAATAATAACAATGTTGCTAGCAAAACGCCTTCATCACGAGTCGATATAGCAGGATTATTCATCAAGTACCCGTCTTATACCGTCAGAGAACAAATACCTCGAGTACAAAATGTGGAAAGCTGTAATTCGACCACCCCATATCTCATCGCCCGTCTGAGGGTTGCAGCTGACATGGGAGAAAGTGATTTTGACAAACTCTTCTGGTTCTTCAGTCGTGTTCTGTACTTCCTCCCGAGTAACTTCAAAACGATGAGATGAGGCTATTGCCAAGGCGTCTCCACGGAATACCCATTCAATGAATGGATATGGTGGCGGCAAATACTCGGATGACTGATGGAAGATGTCTTGTCGTTGTTTAGAACTCAATGAGCTGGAGTCCAACACCAGAAAATTACCAAAGAATAACGAGCCGACTGGTGGTGTCGATGTGGGGGATAGTGACGATAGATCCTGGTTCCAATATGAGGGATGCACAGCGAAAGCAGTGGCCGGAGGCTTCAGAGGGCCATTGAGGGCTTCCAAAACCGCTACACGTAGAGTCAATATCCGCAGTATATGATTTGGTGGTGTTCCTGTAGTGCTTCTTGATCTTACCTGGAATACTGTGTAGAGATAAATGGAAACCACATATAAACCACCGCTCCAAAGTAAAGGCAGGCCCACCGAAAAAGCCTCGATTGAATCTGGCTAGGATCTCGTCGTCGCTCATGTCCCGTTTCAAGCTGCGCACTGGTATCCTCGCACTATAGCTTTCCTGTAGTGCACCACTCAGCTCGACTTTTGGGAGTATACGAGCAAAAGATTCTCGATGTCCAGGACTTGCGCTGTGAGATGATACTCGTCAATTATTATTCTCGTTCTGAATCACGTCATGTAGATGGTCGCAAAGGTATGAAATAGATGTTTACTGCTGCTTTGATGACTCACTGGCATTCATATGTGGCCGGATGAAATGTAGGCGCTGACTGATATGCCACTAGTAATGATGCACCAAATGCTGCAACGGCTGCCGCTGCCCATCGTGAGACTACTATTGACATGACTGAGTTGATGGACGCGCTGTGAATTACATGTGTCTAGGGAAAGTGCAATTGGATGAACAGTCAATTGCGAAGCGAAACATTTATATTCTGTGCTGACCATCTTGCTCTAGTGCCTCAGCTGCTGCGATCCGCTGAATTCCGAAGGCGCCGTAAAGGCCCGGGTCATCGTGCTTACGCCCATATCTGCTCGCGGCGCAATTACGGAGCAAATATGTCAATCGATTGCCTTGACTTATTCTTATGGTTCTGGTCTTCCCTTCTTTCATACTTTTTTTTGAGACCTTTTCCACGTCCTGGTCTTTATATGCTGTGCTGTGTCATATATGTGCAGTGTGCACTCTTTGCATTACCAGGCCGAGTCGGGCTGAAAAGTATAATGGCTGTATTTTTTTTTAACTTATTTATGGCCACTAATTGTATTCTAGATACAAAACCAAGTAATTTTATTATGCTCATATGACAAGACTATAAGTTCTGTTACTGATTTGGCAATCACACGCGACGCTATTTCTACATCAGGCCTTATGCTCTGCGGGGCGTCACATACGAAGTGCTTAGGTAGCTTACATGTAGTTTGAATAGGCGTAGGTACAGTACAGGTATCGGTCCTACACAATAGAATGCATGTCTGGTGGGAGGCCTAGAGGATCAGTTGCATCCTACATCTCATTGAGTCGAAGTTGGTTCGATGAGAATTCTGCCTATCCTCCTAGTTAAACCAGATTGGGGGCCACTTGAATGTTGGCGAAAACCTATGAGCAGATCGTCACGGGCTTCATCTAGAAGTAGACTTGCTTGAAAGTATAAGGAAGATATAAGGCAAGCTTCAAAATGTAGGGTGAAGCCAAATGAAAGATTTGAACCATTAGACAAGTTCACGTGCACGCTGCGCCATCGCGAAAGCAGAGGATTGAAAGTGATTTCTACTCCCGCAATATTAAGGCAATTGGCTGTGTAATGACTGTACATGCCATCATTCGTTTAGGTAATATTATATCGTGGAGGTTTCTAGCGTTCTGTAATATGTAGTACGCCTGCAAAGCTTCCATGGAGGCCAGATAGCCAGAATCGCGTACTACCATAGTACCTCCAGGCTACTGTGTACGTATTGCCGTTGTGGGTCAATCGGCCTTCAAAGGCCTGGCACGCAGTCATTGAAGTGTCCCTGATGATAAATCCGAGATGGACATGCGGGGTTGAGGCGAATCACATTCGACGGACGATCTGACCTTAAAGATGATAAAAAGGGCGTGGACTTGGATATACCAATGAATGCCAATGCAGTTTGTGTTTTGGTGGTGGAGGTGCACAAGAGTGTATCGTCTAGTCGTACCTATATAGAAGGCTTCTAGATTCTTGGGCTACCTTGTTACGTGCCAGACAAGCTTGACAAGCTTCTAAATTTGGCTTGATACAAAACATATTAAACTATGGCACTACGGGGAAATACCAGCTGCCACGCAGCTAGTAAAAACCTTGCATAATAAAAATACTATAAAACCTTTTAAAAATAGCCTTTTATATAAATTATTAAATTATATTAATATATATATATTAACCCCCTATTTATTTTATAGCTATTTAATTATTTAATAATTATAAGCCTGGTTTGCATTAGTGTTTTAATAAAATTTCAAATTAATACTAAAAGGGAAAATATTATAATTTTTTAATTATAAAAAAAAAGCAGATTAGGAGCTTATAGCGATTTACCGGTAATTAAATAGCGACCTTTTTTAAGGCAAACGTTATATTTTTTTTTCGAAATTAATATTACGAATAAAAGGCCTAATTGCGTCGATTCGTAACGCTATTAGCCTAAGAGTTATTAGATCCCGATAATTAAAAATAACTAATTCCTTAATTTGCGATTCTTTAGGGACTAAACGGCGGAAACCTAAATTAAACTTAAATATTAATTTTTAACGCTATTTTTACTATATATAATAATAAAAGAATAGCTATTAAAAAAGCTCGCGCGTATATCCGATAAATTATAATATTATATTTTTATATTATATTAATAAAAAAAAAGCTATTACGTAGCTAGATATTAGTATTATAGGCGGCGTTTCGATTTATTAAAAATAAAAATAAACAAATCGTTAAAAACGTATATAAAAAATTTATAAAAGAAAGGGTTTTTAAAAAATAGCCTATTTACGGATTTTAAACCTAAAGGATAAAGTTTATTTAATATATTTTAAATTTTAAAAAGGTATTTTCGACCGAATTAGCAAATTAAAAAGCTAGGTTCGGCTTAAAATAAGCTACGCTTATTCCGTAAACGATATAAAAGGCCTATATAAAACAAATTATATTAAAATCGACGTAATCCTATTATAAAGCTATAAACGACTTATAAAAAAAATACGAAAAATAAAGCTATATAATACGAAGCAAAGCAAAACCTATAAAATAAAAAAATATTTAATTAATCGTTACGGCCGATTATTATTTAGCGAATTTAGCAATTTTTAATTAACAAAATTCGGATTAAAAAAATCGAAGCGATTTATTATTAACTAAAAAGCCGAAAACGGAAAAAAAATTAAAATCGAGATTTAAGCCTAAATTAAAACCTAAGAAAAATAAACGTAAAAAACCTCCCCGGAATAACTTTTAATACGTTATTTATAAGGTAATTAAATATTATTAACGTAGTTATTTTTTTATTTAAAATAACCGCAAGGTTTTTAATCTAAAAAAATAGGAAATCTTTAACCGGAATATAAAAAAAAAAAATTTCGGGCTAATATAATAAAGGTTTAGGTTTTATGCGAAAAAACGGCAAAAAATCCGTTCGAATAGGATTACGTAAAAAAGTAATCCAATAATATATTTAAAATAAAGGAGGAATTTAAAAGGTGTAATTAGGTAAAATTAGGGACGTAATATAGTTTTATAAATATAATTAATATATTTAATTATTTTTTAAAAAATTCGTTTATCGCTAATATAAAAATTATTTTTTATATATATAATAATTTTAATAAATTTATTAATTTTAAAACCGCGGTAAATTCGTAATATATTTTTATAAAAAACACTAAGGTTTTAATTAATAAATAAGGTATAATTAATATTAAGGTAAATATACTAATATAGCATTAAAAAACGAAAAACGGCTTTATATATAAATAAGCGAAAAAAGGTAATATATAATTAATTAATATAGCTTACGTACTAGGTTTTTATTTTAATTTAATATCGCTACCGAAATTTCGAAAAAAACGAAATTTTTACTATAAT